CTCCACAACTAGACTGAAGAACAAAATGACAGCAACTTGTCTGTTCCCCTTCCCCTAATTCCCCAGCACTGTTCCCATCCCCCAATTGCCCAATAAAAAATCTTTAAAAAAAAAAAAAAACTCTTAGAAGAAAACATTACAGAAAATTTTTATGGCACTGGATTTGGCAACAACTTCATGGGAACAACACCAACAGCACAAGCAATAAAAGAAAAAATAAACTGACTTCATAAAAATTAAGACTGTGCATCAAAGGATATCATCAAGAAAACGAAAACACAAACCTACAGAATGGGAGAAAATATTTGCAAATCATGTATCCAATAAGGGATTAAATATATATAAAAAACTTCTGAAACTCAACAAAACGAATTACCCAATTCAGAAATGGGCAATAAGCACATGAAAAGATGTTCAACATCATTAGTCATTAGAAAAATGCAAATCAAAACCAAAACACGGCATCACTTCACATCTAATAGAATGCCTATAACCAAAAATAATGAGTACTGGTGAAGACGTGGAGAGATTAGAATCCTTGTACATTGCTGACAGGAATGTAAAATGGTGCAGCTAATGTGAAAAAGTTTGGCAGCTTCTCAAAAGTTTAAACATGGAACGACCAAATGAGCCAGAATTCCGCTCTGAAAGAACTGGTACCTGGGACATGAATAGATACTTGCACACACTGTTCAGAGCAACACAACTCACAACAGCCACAAAGTAGAAACCACCCCAGGGTTCATCAGCAGCCGAATGGATAAACAAAATGTGATAGATCCATACATTGAATAATATTCAACCATAAAAAGGAATTAAATTTTGACGTGCTACAATATGCCTACATTATGCTTGGTGAAAGAAGCCATACACAGGACAAATATGGCATGATTTCATTTATATGTGGTCTAGAGCGGGCAAACTCACAGGGACAGAGAGTACGACAGAGGTTCCTGGGGCCTAGAGGGAAAGTGGGACGGGGAGTTATTGTTTACTGATACAGTAGCCCCCCCTCACCTGTGGCTTCACTTCTTTGATTTCAGTTACCCACAGTCAACTGTGATTTGAAAAGACTCAATGAAAATTCTAGAAATAAACAATTCATCAGGACGGCCTGCGAGCGACTGCCTCACCCGGGAAGAGTACAACGATAATACCAACATGGGCCAGTGAAGCGACGTCCTCCACAACTAGACTGAAGAACAAAAGGACAGGGCCGGCCCAGTGGCTCAGCTGGTTAAGAGCTCGCTTGGGAGCGCCAGCTCTGAGCAGCAGGGCTGCGGTTCGGATCCCACACTGAAGGCAGTGATGCTCACCCTCTACAGCTAAGGTGATGAACAACAGCTCGACCTGGAGCTGGGCTGCTGTGAGTCGCCAGCGACGGCGTAGGCTGCAGTGGGGCTGCAATGGGCTGCACGTGAGTGGCCAGCAGCCGGTGTGAGCTGCCGGGAGCCGCTGTGAGCGGCTGACCAATGACCAGCGACCGATTGCCTCACCCGGGAAGAGCACAATGATCATACGAACATGGGCCGGTGACGCGACATCCTCCACGACTAAACTGAAGAACAAAAACAGCATATTTGTCTACCTGTCTGTTCCCCTCCCCCCAATTCCCCAATAAAATCTTTAAAAAAAAAGAAAAAGAAAAGGACAGCAACTTGTCTGTTCTCCCTCCCCAATTCTCCCAGTAAAATTTTTACCAAAAAAAAAAAAAATCATGTTTTAAATTGCACACTGTTCTGAGTAGCGTGATGAAACCTCGCTTGTTCCTACAAATCGCCCTTTGTCCATCGTATCCACGCTGCATAAAATACCCACCCGTTAGTCAGTTATCAGATCAACTGTTGGGTGTCGCAGTGCTTGCGTTCAAGTAACCCTTATTTTACGTACTAATGACCCCAAGCGCCGAGAATGAGGATGCTGGCAATTGGAACATACCAAAGAGAAGTCGTGAACGTTATCGAAGGTATGTATGTATAGGAAAAATAGTATATACGGGGTTCCGTACTATCCTGGGTTTCAGGCCACTGTAGGGCCTGGAATGTGTCCCCACAAATAAGGGGGACTACTGGACAGCATCTCAGTTTCAGGTGATCACAAGTTTTGTCCATAGATAATAGTTCTACAACATTGTGAATATACTTAATGCCACTGAATTGTTCACAAATAGTTAAAATGATAAATATCATGTTATGCATATTTTCCCCTAAAAAATAAAAAGCAATGTGAGATTCTGATTTGAATTTTGAACCAGAAAAAAGGCATTAGAAGAATAACTGGTGACTTTTAAATAAAATCTATAGACTACTTAATAGTATGACATCAATGCTGTTTTCCCAGTTTAGAACGCTGTATAGGATTACAAAGATGTTAATGTTAGAGGAAGTGTGCTTGCAATTTACATGTAACAAAATGGACAGTAGTTCCATGGAACCCTAGAAAAATATCAGTTTTTTTTTTTTAATTTTGGAGACCAGAGAAACAGTTATGGGGAGACCATGAGTTTCATAGGGGGATGTTCACTTTTTATATTTTAAATTTTGATATTCTTTGAATTTTTTGTTAAGTATCATTACTTTCACATTTTAGAACACCAAGACACTTAAGAAATACATAATACATACCTAGAACTGGCTCTGTAATATTAAGTAAAGAAATGCAACCCGGAGGAGTAAATTCTGTCTGTCCCAGATCGCATTCCAAATAGTCAATGCAGGAAACACTGAAAATTTAAAAGGAAGAAAATCTTGACTAGTTTTAACGATGATGAAAGGGTACATCAGATCTTAAAGATTTTAGGTGATACAGTCATAATCCACCCCATGTAGGCTTTTAGGTGGAATGCTCAAACAATATATATTTTTTTAATGTTTTGGGGTGGCTGGTTGGCTCAGTTGGTTGGAGCGCAGGCTCATAACACGCAAGTTGCCGGTATGATCTTCACATGGGCCACTGAGCTGCGCCCTCCACAACTAGATTGAAACAACTACTTGACTTGGAGCTGATGGGTCCTGGAAAAACACACTGTTCCCCAATAAAACTTATTAGAAAAATAAAATAAAATTTTTTGAAGAGAAAATGCAATGCAGTCATGGTCACAGCGATAACACGACTACAACCTCGTCTTTCCTGAAATTTTATCTTTCATAGACAGCAGGATTTAGGCCTACTGCGAATCTCTGGGTACGGACAAATACAGATTCTGAGACCAAGTGGCTCCTCTCAAAAGCTCCCTGGGAAGCAAAGTCATTACTCCCTAAGAGCACTGTCCCCTCACTCCAAAACACAGTCTAACAGACGATACCACCACTCAGCTGAGCAGGTTAGCACAGCTGTAAATAATCTCTACTTAGAAGAGGCATTCCCATCCAGTTTTGTAAGTCAGAACTCTTACTTCATGCCTCAAAGCTAGCAATATGTCAAAACAAGAGTAAAACACTCTTACCTATTTAATAACTGGTTAATCAGGTATCTATTGAAGGTTGACTTTCCAACGTCCTGAGGTCCACAAGTCAGAATGATAGGGCAGCCATCTGCTTCTTCTGGGGGTGAAACGAACATTGACTCGAGAATTAGACATCTTGTTTAGGACTCCTCTGATGGATAACACTCGAATTTATCAATATGTGTCACTCACCACAAGAATCACTGACTAACTCTTCCAGGGCTGAAAGGATACTGTCAGTAAAATGATGGGCGTTTTTTTTTTTCTCTTTTTTAATGCCAACAGACCTCAAGGCAAAATATTCGGCGTTAATCTGGAAAGTCAGACTCTGAAATTAACAATGTAAATCTTTAGAAAAGGTGAAAACAAATGCCCTCTTTTTATTTAGTTCTAAATTAATAAACCTCATACAGTTGTGAGCTACAAAAGATAAATTTGATCCCTCCCATTTTCTCACTGCACTCCCCACCCCACCCCCCGAATCCAACCCTTTAGTACATCTTGTCAACTCTCTTCCTAAAGTCATCCATGTCTGTTTCCATAGCCTAGGTTTACTTCCAAGCTGCCATCACCTCTGCAGGGCAATCCAAAGAAAATGTATGGAAATCTAAGTGATTGCCACAAGAAAAAAGCAATCGAAGAGCACAGTTGCAGAGCAGGTTGGTGATTTGGAATAAAGTCAAGGCAATCTCCGAAAACAAAGCGAAAAGACAAGAATATATGCAGACGGATGTGAAAGACAGGTCCACGAAATCCAATGGCGTTCTTGCAGAAGTACGAGGGAACCAACAGAAAGCAACCCAAGGAATGGAAGAGCTCCGTCCTGGCGGAAGCAGGTGGGGCTTCAATGGAAGGCCACTGAGAGGAAGAGGATCATGGAAGAGACCCACCCATGATCACATCCTCATGCAATTCATCAACCCCAAGGATAAGGACATCATAAAAGGAATCAGCCTGGCACTGAGCCTTCCTACTCACAACCCAGGATTCTAGAAAACAATGGAGCAGGACTTCAGAGTTTTGACATCAGTCTCTTTGCTGCTCCCTCATCGAGACCTGTTCTTGCGAGTGCATCGGGCTCAGACCTTGAACCTTCCTCTTCCTATCTGTTATCAATTCCCTTGACGTTATTATCCCACCTCAAGGCCTTCGGAACCCTCTGCTGGAGCTAAAAGCTCCCAAATTTACATTTCCAACCTCTTCTCTGAACTCCAGCTCTCCACATCTCCAAATGAACATCTCAAAATTAACTATCTGTATCTCCTCCTACAGCTGCCCGATCTCAGTTAATGGCAACTCCATACACCTAGGTGGTTAGCCCAAAAAGCCTGGTGTTGGCCCTTGATTCTTCCTAATACCTCACATCCAGCCTGTCCAATAATCCTATGGGTTAGACTCAATCTACTGGCTCACAGGAGACAATTATAGTAATGACTTGACTTTAGGAAATAACATGGCCAGCAAAATTTAGAGGTGAGAAAAGAGAGAGAGAGACGGGAGAAAGTGTTAAGTATTACTCATTCAGTTTAGAGAAAACTTATACCATCTCAAGTTACTCAATCAAGATATGAAGGTATGATTTTTAAAAAGCCGGAAGGCATTTACCCAACTGCAATATGAAACGGTGCCTTTCGCTGGGGAATGCAACCAAGGTGGGCAGGGAGATACTTCTTCATGATGTAGCTGTCTGCACTAACTATTGTTACTGTACACATGAATTACACTGTGTATGATCTACAGCACAAGGAGACAGATTGCTTTTCCAAGGGAGCATCTTATGTAGTCATTTGATATGACTGCTGGTGAAAGCAATTAGCAAAACTCCAAATAAATAGTGTTTCACCTCTTGTACAAAGATGTAAGATAAACCTGGATGGCTGATTATAAAGTTTACAGTCGAGGTTTTCAGATTTTCCAACAGCACAATGGAACACATAGGAGAAAAATTCTTCATCACCCAACATCTGTCATCTGGAAAGAGGGAAACAAATTACCTTAGAAATAGTAACTCCATTCAATTCTATGCCCTTTTGGACTACCAATTCCTCAGCTAAACTGTACACTTTTTGAGAGTAGGAATTGTGTTTGAGGGTCTTTTTCAGGAGGCCATACTGCATAACAGGAACACACCCGGACAGAGAAGTCACTCCAGGTTTACCACATACTAGCGTGTGTGGCCTTGGGCAACTTTACTCAACTGCAAATTGGTGAAAACAAGTTTCCCTCTTAGGATCCTTGTGAGGGTTTAAATAGATATAGTATGTCTAGGCCATAGTACGCGTCTCAAAATGATTAGCCTTATTCTATATAGTACATCCTCAGTATATTACCCAGTTCTTTCCATTACCCTGGTTAAGATGAGATCTGAGCAGAGTTCGGGCTTCCCTTTTCATCTCCTTCTTGCTTCTCTCAGGCATCGAGGAAGGAACTGCACTGATAGTGAGGCGAGAGTGGGTATAGGTAGAGAAGACATCGCGGGAAGGCTGGCCTTGGCTAATGGTGAAACCAAACACCTGCACCTGACCGTAAAGGCACGTCACACGACAGATCCCACTAAAAGTGAAAAACTAGCAGAGAAAGAAAAAAGGAAGAAATCGCATTACGGAGTCTGTTCCTAATGACTGAAATTTTCTAAAACCTTGCTATCCACATAGCGAAAGGCAGTAGACTTTTAAATAACAATACACTGTACTAGGCGACTACCAGGCACTTCACATTTTTAACCGAAGATCACATCCCATGGCAGCTACAGGCACAGCTGGTGAACACTGACATATGAAGAACAAGGGGGTCCCATGAACTGGGCTCTGCTGTCCCCGTCCTTAAAAGGCCCACTGCCTGCCTGTCACTTCCCTCCTGTATTGGAGGGGGACCTCCCAGACCCGAGTGCAAGAGCAGGGGTTCTGCGAGCAGGCCGCCTGGGTGTGAGTCCTAGCTCTGGCTCCTCACCTTCTGGCAAGTTCCCTAAACTACACCTCAGCTCCTTCCTCTGTAAACATTCATAGCAATAGCATTAAGGACTTCATGTGAGCTGGGGTTACTAAACGGGTTCACACACCCAGGACGCTTACAACACGTACAACCTGGCGTTACTAAGCACCCAGGAAATGCGACCTATTATTATTACCGTTACCGTTCAAGTCCCTTTCAGCTCTGAAGACCTAGATCCCCACTCCCCATCAGGGCCCAGGTTACCCTCTGCTCAGCACCACCGCCACGAGAAATGCGCTCGACTCGCGACCGGGGAGCCAGCAGAGGGGACACGGTCCTCCCCCGGGCTGAAACCCCCGGGGCTGCGTCTCCACCCCGCCCCCTCTGCCCTCCGGACTCTCCCAGCGCGACTCACCTGCTCGAGGGGCAGCAGTAGCAACGCGCGGCCGGGTCCCGCCGGCCGCAAGAGCCGGACGGGGAGTTTCGGGAAGCGACTCGGAGCGGAGTCCTGGCCCGAGGTATGCCTCGGGGCCGCGCTGAGGACCGCGGTCTTGGTCTTCTTCGCCGCCGCCGCCGCCGCGCTCCGCTCCAGGCAGCCGCCCTCCCGCCAGTCCGCGCCGGCCGCCTGGGCCTGCAGCAGCCGCCGTCGCAGGCGCCTCCGGCCGCACCAGCGCAGCAGAGTCCAGAGCCGGCGGCGGGGCCGGCGGCTGAGGGTGAGCTGGGGCCGGGCCTTGCGGGTTCGCTTCCATGCGGAGCGGATAGGCCCCCGCTTGCGCACCAGGAGCAGCGTGTCCGCCATGATGGCTACTGGCGCCAACCGCGCGAGAATCTCGCGAGATCCCGTCGCTCCGCCCCCACGGCCTGTGGAGCGGCCTGGGGACCTGGAGCGCCCTCTGCCGGCGGTCCGGCCCGCGCGCCTGCTCACTCGGAGACCCCCGCCCGCCTGCGGGGACTCTGAGGGCGGCGCCTCGGTGACCACCGAGCCGGCGGTCCCGCGGAGGGCTCCATTTCCATGATGCAAAAGCTCACCCCCGCCGCCTCGAGACGGAAAGCCTGATATTTCAGCTCAAGTCCAGGGCCACCTCTCCGGAAATCCACGGGGATAGTTTTTTGTCCTGCAGAAAAAGCTCCAGGAGTGGCGGTTTAAACAAAACCGGTCTGTTCGCATACCCTCTGCATGCTGTTGCCTTTGGGCTGAAGGGCGCAAGCCACCCTGGATAACAAGGCAAAACTACGATGACTCACTAAGAAATTCGGTGTCAGAAAATTGACTAGGGGGGAGGTCAATTCAAAGCCATGTTTCATTAGGTAAACTGAGGCCCAGGCGAAAGGTTCTAAAACTGGCAGCTCCCTGCTCGCAACCCTGCTCACCCTGTCCCTCAGGGCCCCCAGAGAAGCTGTGTTCCTGCCTTCTTCTGGCCCCCAACCTCGCCCTCCCACACACGAAAAATAATGCCAGGGCTCCCTTTCCGAGCCAGGTGACGCTGCAGGCACCAGAGCAAGGACAGAGCCCACAGCCACCCAGAGGAAGGATCGGTGGGCACGCTGCCTGGTTTGCATCTGTGCCTTCACACTGCCCAGTTCCTGAGTAGGGCAGTGGACCCAGAAGCCAAGACAAACAGCCTGGTTCTGACAACGGGGTTCCAGTCCCATCCCTTTCCTAGGCGTGAAGTTGGTAAGCACGTGGGCAGCTGCCATCTACTCTTCAAACGGCCTGACCTGGGCGGAGGGCGCCGCTCGGCCATGCCGGGCACACGCCTGGTCAGCATGTTACGCTGGGTGGCTCACCTGGTTGTCCTGGAGCTCACCTGTTCCTGCTGCTGGGCTTGTAGCTGCCCAACATGGAGTCCTCTCCTGACTTCAGCCTCCCTGAGGATTACCCCACTGCAGGCCTGTCCTCCACACTGACTGTCTGGGGGTGAGACACAGACCCACAGTGACCCTCTGTGACGGGTGAGGGAGGGCTCAGCAGAGCTGTCATCTAGTGGGAATTGTGCCTCCAGGGTCCTCTGCCTGTCCTTCTCTGCCTCTGAGGTTGCCACCTGTGCTGCCTCCAGCCCTTCCTCAACCTACAGTCACCACCTTCAAGCTCTAGCTGGGCCGTCCCTGGCAATTCGGCCCAGTTTCTACTCTGAAATATATATATTTTTTGTCCTGGCTGTTAGAGTCTTTGTGTTATAATTCCATTCCAGTTATTTCCTGGCTTTGTGACATAACTCGATGGCAAGGATTAAGCAAGTGTGGCCTTTCTCCTTTTCCATCTCCTCCCAACTCCTCCCCAAGTTCAAACTCCTTGGTCTCTCAAATAGCAGGGGAGGGTCTCCATGGGGAGGGAAGTGAAGACACACAGCAGTAGATGCTTCAGGAGCTCAGCAAAGATAACCTAGGTTGGTGCCTTCAGGAAGTCTAGGTAGAGAAAACACTGCTTTTCTTATAAAGAAGATAGGTGCTTAGAGTCTGTGCAAATCACAGATTTGGGAGGCTAGGGGATGCCGTAAGGGTCAGCAGCAGGATGCCCTAAACATGAAGCACACCTGACAGCCGGCCTAGGAGAAAGGTTCTGGAAAGCCTAGCTCATGAGGACTTGCCCAAAGTGCCACAGGTGGAGCCTGGGAAGAGAAGATCTGGGGGAGAGAGACATGAAAACTGGCTTCAGAGAACTGAAGGGCTGTCATAAACAGGAGACACTGAGCTTCCTCCGAGTGACTTAAGGACAGAAGTGATAGAAATGATGGAAGATGCTTCTAACAAGCAGAGAGGCTGGAAAGCAGATGGGACTGGCACTCTCTTCAAGCAGGGCTGAGTCATGTCCCCAGCACACCCCGTTGGGGTTCAGCCAGCAGCTCCCAAAGTAGGCAATGAGGAACACAGGCTACCACCACATTCACGAGTGTCCTAGGAAGAAGCACGAGTGAAAGAAGATTAAGCAGGTGTGGTGGTTAATTTTATGGTCAGTGTGGCTAAGGCATGGTGCCCAGTTGTTTGATCAAACACCAGTTAGATATTGCTGTGAAGGTATTTTTTGATGTGGTTAACATTTAAATCAATAGACTGAGGAAAACAGATTGCCCTCCATAGTGTGGGTGGGCCTCATCCAATCAGTTGAAGACCTTAAGAGAAAGGATTGAGGTCCCTGAAAAAGGAAGGAATTCTGCCTGTAGACTCAAAGCTGCAACATCAGCTTTGTGGGAACTTCCAACCTGCCCTGCAAACTTCAGACCTTCCAGCCCCCACGGTCATGTGAGCCAGTTCCTTAAGATAAACCTCTCTATGTATATCCTATTGGTTTTGTTTTTTCTGGAGAACTCTGACCAGTACAGCAGGTTTCTCTGCTACAGGACTTCGTGATAGTTGCTGATAGTTAGGTACGGGTTGGAGGATATCTGCCACCAGACTAAATTCTGATCAAGCACAAAGAAACAACCAGTCGAAAGCCTCAGGCCTAGCTTTGCCCTTTATTAGAGAGCTCCCAGCCCAACTCCCTATGGATGCAATCTTATCCTAAATGACCCAAACAGATGAGGCTGTATTCTCATTGTACCTTCCCATGCTAGCTGTATAAAGTCCCTCTATTGTTTATGTCAAAGACACTGGCACCTCAAACAGCTTGGCCCAAATGCAGACAGATACTAGCGTATCTGCAGCAGAAAAATAAAAGCATACTCCACCCAGAGATGCACGGTCAAGATCAGAAAGCAAATTGAGGCAGCTAGAGCTTGGCTCAGAGTTGGATTTCAGGGGCCACGTTCTTTCCTTTTTTTTTTTTTTTTTAAGATTTTTTTTTAATTGGGGCATTGGGGGATGGGAACAGTGCTGGGGAATTGGGGGAAGGGGAACAGACAAGTTGCTGTCCTTTTGTTCTTCAGTCTAGTTGTGGAGGACGTTGCTTTACTGGCCCAAGTTGGCACCATCATTGCGCTCTTCCCGGGCGAGGCAGATCAGTCGCTGGCTTCTGGACGGCCGCTCACTGCGGCTGCTGGCCGCTCACGCTGGCTGCTGGCTACACACGGTAGCCCATGGCAACCACTGCAGCAGGGGCTGCAGCCTATTCTGTTGCTGGTGACTCATGGCAGCCCAGCTCCAGGTTGAGCTGCTGTTCAGCATCTTAGCTGTAGAGAGGGCAGTGTCACTGGCCCTCATATGTGGGATCCGAACCGGGGCCCTCTGGCGTCCCAAGCCAGCTCTTAACCATCACGCCACTCAGCTGGCCCTGCATTCTTTCCTTTTACTCTGCCTGTGGGAGTGGGAATGCATCTCTTCTGTCCTCAGAGAGTCAACTCAGAGAAAACTCAGAGCATCAGCTCAGGAAGGTAGGTTTGGTTAGTGGAAGTACTGGAGAGATGAAAATGCCTTTTCTTTGGGACGGGTTGCTTCCATTGACCATAGCCTCACTGGCTGTGGGCAGAGCTATCAGGCTAAGGCCCTCCCTAGGGGCCTCTTGGTTTGCAAACCAACTCCTTCTGGGATCATGAGCCATACAAAACCTATCTGCCTGTCTCCAGAATCTGTAATGAACATAGGCACCCTAAGGAAACACTTGGCCTCGGGGTGCCACCTAGGGCTACCCCCATCTCACTGTGCCCGGCAGAGCTGAGCTCCTGTGGTACAGTCCTCCAACACCTGTAGTCTTGCATGGCCTTTTCCCCCTCTTCTTGCTCTGATCGCCTGGCTCTCAGGGGCCCTCTCCGCCTTCCCTTCCAGATCTCCACCGCTGGGCGCCTGAGGGAAGCCAGACCTGCTTCCCACGCATGACGGTGTTTTTGACTTAGCATGAGCCCATCTAGGGTGCTGCTGGTGGCTAAAGTGCTGCTGCTCCTACTGGTGGCTGGGACTGCTGGCCTGTTTGCCTGGCACCTGGACACCCCTGTGGTGAGCTCACGCTGGGCTCCCAGGCAGGGGGCAGTTGTGGCCTCTATGGCTGCTTTGGGGAGTCCACGCTGCCCACGTGCTTGCTGCACCAAGGTCTCTTTGCTCTCGGTTTTAGTATCTTCCTGTCTTGCCTGACAATCTGCTCCTTCCAACTGGTCTTCATCTTCAAGCTTTCTGCCAAGGTATCCACCTTCTAAAATGCTTGGGTCCAAAACCATGGAGCTGGCCTGTTTGTAGTGATCAGCTCAGTGGCCCAGCTGTTTATCTGTCTAACGTGGCTTGCCGTGTGGACCCCACTGCCCACTAGGGAATATCAGCACTTTGCTCAGCTGGTGGTGCTTGACTGCACAGAGGCCAACTCACTGGACTTCACACTACCTTTCGCCGACAGTGGTCTCTTCTCAGTCAGCACCTTTGCCTGCAGCTATGGGGGCAAGGACCTGCCAGAGAACTACAAGGCCAAATGTGTCCCCTTCAGCCTGCTCCTCAACCCCTGGATTGTAGGGACACATTAGGGACTCCCCCACATAGGCCCCTACAGCCAAGATTGTAAGGTTGCTGCCTGAGACAAAGCTCAGCGGTCAACTGAGGGAGGCTGGATGCCTGCCACACTGAAAACAGTGTGTGCGAAGCCAAAGTCCTTGAAACTGTTTTGCTCCTCTTGAGCTAAAAAACAACACCTAGACAAAGCATTTTCTCCCTTAGCCTTAGGGGCTTGCTTATTATTTCCTGCCACCTGTTCCTCTGTTATCTCTAATAAAAGACTGAGGTCAGTGAGGATGCCGGGTGGGACTGTGCTCTGTCTGTCCTCCTCCCTGCTCTCTGCATTGCCTTGCTCTCTCCATTCTTTTTTTTTTTAAGATTTTTTTTTTGGGGAATCGGGGGAGGGGAACAGACAAGTTGATGTCCTTTTGTTCTTCAGTCTAGTTGTGGAGGACATCACTTCACTGGCCCATGTTGGTATTATCATTGCGCTCTTCGCGGGTGAGGCAGATTGGTCATCCGCCACTGGATGGCCACTCACAGCGGTTCATGGTAGCTCACACTGGCTGCCGACCAGTCACGGTAGCTTATGGCAGCCCACTACAGCTCCACTGCAGCTGCCACTGGTGACTCATGGCAGCCTAGCTCCAGGTTGAGCTGTTGTTCACCATCTTAGCTGTAGAGGGCGCAGTGTCACTGGCCCTCATGTGGGATCCAAACTGCCGCCCTGCTGTTCAGAGCTGGCATCCCAAGCCAACTCCTAACCAACGCACTACTCAACCAGCCCAACTGTCTCCATTCTTGGCATCTCCGGTCAGTAGTTCGACACTAGATCGCCTTCTTCACCACTGCCAGTGTCTACCAAAGCAAGTACCTGCCGGCTGTCCAAGTGTTGGCCATGCTGAGCAGCATTAGTGGTGGCTTCGCGGTTATTTCCTCCCCAAGTGCTATATGATCCTGTGCGGCCCAGGTCTCAACAGCTAGGTGCACTAAGCTGGGGTGGAGCGGACTGGAAGCCTCCCCAGCCCTGAGGGGCGAAGGTCGAGGGGGGCACGCAGAGTCTGGGGTGTCCGCGAGGCCTTTGGACTCCTCACTCTTGGTTTGGGAAATGTAAGGACACGGGAGAGACCAGCCCGGACTCCGGGCTGCCAATAAAGAGGTGACATGTGCGTTTTGGCTGTGCTACCTCTCTGGGCGAGGATGAGGCGCTGATTCTTCAAGCCTGAGGGTGCCTCAACCGGCTAACTGCAGCCGGAATCTCGGGATTGGCTCAGCAGGACGAAGAAGACCCGCGAGCGCCCAGCTTGGCGTTGCTAGGCAACTCCAGGAGGCGGGCCCAGCGTCGAGACCTTTGGACATGGCCCCGCCCCCTTCACATTCCATTGGCTGTTCTCTGAGTGGTCCCGCCCTCAGATGCTGGAGCTAGAATCCCTGCGCCTCGGAGGTGTTCCGCCCCGGCGGGCTCGACTAGACGTCACGTCCGGCGGCGGCGGCGACGGCGGCGTCTCCGTACGGTCGGTCGGGTGCGTGCGGCCCGGTAGTTGCTTGGTGGGAGTGGAGTTGACGCGGCCCGGGACCGGTGGGGTCGGCGCAGGGCGGACGGGCCCGGGTGAGAAGATCGGGGGGTGTGGGGCGAGGGAGTAAAGCGCTACGGGCCTCCGTGGGCACTGACGGAGTATGACTGCGGTCGCCTTCCGCCCGGCCGCTCAGGACGTGTGGGCGGGGCATGAGCTCCGCTCACCTGTCAGCAGCCGCTCCCCTCCCCTGCCCCGGGTCGTCTCACTGCACCAGGAGGATCAGTTCGCCCTGATCCCCCACCTCTTTCCCCAAACTTGGATTCCTCCCACCAGCGCTCCTTCACGACCCTGTCTCATCTCCCGCCAAGATATGCCTCCTACCCCCACCTTGTCCCCTTGCGCCTCCACCACCCACGCTCTCTGACCAACCCCCGTATGGGCTGCTCACTTGGCCCTCGCCCCGGGGGGGGGGGGACTTTCAATCCATTCCTGTCTCAGCGTGCACGCTCTAACCTTGATCCAAGCCCTCTTGTGATAAATGTGACTGAGTAGAGGCCATCTCCTCTTTCCCTCTTCTCAAACCCAGGGGCTTTCTCTTGTTCGTCCTGGGTTGGGCTTGCCAGGTTGTCACTTTTGCCTTCCTTTCCTCCAGACAGACCATGGATGGTTCCTTTATCCAGCACAGCGTGCGGGTTCTGCAGGAGCTCAACAAGCAGCGGGAGAAGGGCCAGTATTGTGATGCCACCCTGGACGTGGGAGGCCTGGTGTTCAAGGCGCACTGGAGTGTCCTTGCCTGCTGCAGCCACTTCTTCCAGAGCCTCTATGGGGATGGCTCAGGGGGCAGCGTTGTCCTCCCTGCTGGCTTCGCCGAGATTTTTGGCCTCTTGTTGGACTTTTTCTACACCGGTCACCTCGCTCTCACCTCCGGGAATCGGGATCAGGTGCTCCTGGCAGCCAGGGAGCTGCGAGTGCCAGAGGCTGTGGAGCTGTGCCAGAGCTTCAAGCCCAAAACCTCAGTGGGACAGGCACCAAGTGGCCAGAGTGGGCTGGGGAAACCCGACCCCCAGGATGCGAACAGCCATCTCAAGGAGTTGGCAGGCTTGGAGGAAGAGGAAGTTTCAAGGACGGTGGGTCAAGTCCCTAGGGACCAGGAGCTCAGCGGCAGTCACAGCCCCCAGAGGCCCCAGCTTGGTCTCCCTGCTCAGAGTGAGAGCCCCTCCTTCCTGCGTGGGAAACTCAAGCAGGCCCTAAAGCTTTGTCCCCCAGAGGACAAGGAGCCTGAGGATTGCAAAGTACCCCCAAGGCCTTTTGAGGCTGAAGGTGCCCAGCTACCGGGCGGGAATAATGAGGTACCGTGCCCAGGGTGCTGGAAATGAAAAGGCAGGAGTGGGGGGAAGAGACTGACACTTTCCTGGCATAACCTGGACTCCAAGGTAGAATCTGTTATGTGGGTTTGAAACAGGCTTTGGCCAAACATAGGAAACTGGCATCCCTGCAGCCTTGGGCTGCCTTTTCTGCGAGTCACAGCTGTCTGTGGTTGCCAGCTTCTTGGGGTGGAGTGGGAGGCATCAGGGTTACAGGTGCTTCCCCAGGGTAGGGAAATCCAGCCAGACTTCCAGTTCCCCACATAGAGAGCCACTGCTCTCCAAATGCAAGATTCGGGTGCCGCCTGCCCTGGGATCCTGAAGGGAACAGTCGCAGACAGAGGGACTCATCTGGGGCTCTGCCTGGCCTTGGGCCTTGGGCCTTGGGAGGGAACTGGGTGGAGCTGGCTGCCCTGCAGATCCAGAGCCCTGGCTGATTAATTTGGTGACCGCGCCCCCCCATCTGCTGCCTCTTCTGCTCTAGTGGGAAGTGGTGGTTCAAGTTGAGGACGACGGGGATGGCGATTATGTTTCTGAGATGGAGACAGTGTCCAGCAGGAGGAAATCCAATGTCCTCAGAAAGTCCTGTGCTGCCGAGCCAGCGCTGAGTGCAGGCTCCCCAGCAGCCGAGCCCCCTGAGAACAGAAAAGGTACAGCCGTGCCAGTTGAATGCCCCACATGTCATAAAAAGTTCCTCAGCAAATATTATCTAAAAGTCCATAACAGGTAAACATTCTGTTTTTCTATTTGCTTTTCCTGTCTGCCATTTCCATGTTGGGGGAGGGGGCCCGTGCTCCCCCTTTCTGGGCCACGTAAGGCCAGGGGCTCCATTTCAGACCCACATAGTGCCTGGGGTTGGCACGCCGCTGATCACCAGGGGTGAGAACCTAGCCTTGGGTCTGATTCCTTTGTCCCCTCCTACTGTGAGCCCTGTCGTTGGAGTGGGTTTGTGGACACCTTGTCAACAAGTTCTACTCACTGTGGACCTTGACCTTCAGCTGGCTTCTGCTGAGGGGATGAGAAGCCTGTGTCCCTGTGCTGTGGCCGAGGCCCCATCTTAGGTATTTCTGAAGGCCCAGAGTGTGGGCTTCGGGCCAAGATGTTAATCTTTAGGATTGGTGCCGCCTGCATTTCTGGGGAAATGTTAGCCCTGGGGTGTCAGTGGAGCATAAAAGATCATTTGTCTGAAGCCGTAGTGTCCAATAAGGAAATCAGATGCCACAAGAAGCAATTTTAACTTAAAATAGAAGTAATTAAAGTGAAATAAATTCAGTTCCTCTCACACACTAGCCACATGTCCCTGGCTGCCGAGTTGGACAGAGCTGACCCAGAGTCTCTGCAAGGCCTCCAGGGATGGCCGCTAGGTGACTTGCCTTCCTGTCACTCCCTAGCCCAAGACATTACTGGTCCGCCATGGTGCGATTTCTTGCCGAGCCAAGTTGGGCCACATGCATTTTCTCAGTATGACACTCGGGGACGCTGCTGGCGATGGACGAGTTGGAGCTGGGAGGAGGGGAACCTGTTTGCTCCCCCTGCTTTGGGGCAGCTGCCACCAGTGGAGTCTTTGGGGAAGTCCCAGTGTGGGAAGCACCCTGGGGTGATCCACATCGGCCTGGTCACTAACCCAGTGTAAGACTCGGGTCTAGGCACTGCCCATCCCCACCTTGGGCTGCAGGCTGCCACACTGGCCCTAAGAACTAGGAGGGAGTGACGGCCTCTTGAGGTCATTGGGATGGAGAACGAGAACACTGTGTGTAGCAGCAGAGAATGAGAGAAGTCTGACCAATGGCAGCTTAGCTTGTAAGAGCTCTTGGTGCCACTCATAGGTTCCAGGGTTAGGGTTCATTTAGTTCATTCATTCAACAAGCTGTCTGCCAAGTAGCTGACAAGACGGTTCTGGGCGCTTGGGAAACCTTAGCGAACAAAGCAAAGAGGCCTTGGGGAGCTTGCCTTCTAGTGGGGCGATGCAGGCTGCCAACTACCAGATACGTCACTTGACAGCGGCATGCAAGGCAGGAAGTGCCAGAGAAAAGAAAAAGGACAGCAGTGCCAAGGGTTGCGGAGCTAGGGCTGCAGTTTTAAAGCTGTGAGCGGACTAAGAGGCGAGGACGTTCACTGAGTGGAGAGCTGGGGAGAGCTTTTGCGCTGAGAGAAGAGCCGGTGCAGAGGCTCTGGGGTGGGGGTGAGCCGTGGGTTGGTGAACACCGGCATAGCGACCTGGGGAGTGAGGCCAGCCCCCTACACCGTCACAGGCCCCCAGGCCTTTTCTCAGGGTGGAATACAGGCACGGGCGGATTCTGAGTAAAGAGGTGATGAGATCTGACTATTTGAGCGCCCGTCTGGCTACTGAAGTTAAAAGCTGTATGAGTGCTGGCGCGGAGTGGAGACTGCTAGGCTCAGGCGGGGGCCCAGGGGTGGCTGCACTAGGGGTAGCCAGAGGCGAGGAGAGAGGGGCCGGGCCGGGGGGGCCCCCCCTCAGGCCTGGAGCTGGGCCTGAAGCAGGAAGAGGGATTTCCGGGCTCCCCCTCCGGATTCACCAGCCGTGTGGTGAGCCTCGGGGAGCAGAAGGGGCGCGGGGTGAGGACAAGGTGGGAAGTGCACTCAGACCCCACACTCGTAATTGCTTTCCTCGGCAGGAAACACACTGGGGAGAAGCCCTTCGAGTGTCCCAAATGTGGAAAATGTTACTTTCGGAAGGAGAACCTCCTGGAGCACGAAGCCCGGAATTGTATGAACCGCTCAGAACAGGTACTTGTGGGCAGGGGCACGCTGGCCTCTGTTCCTGCCATCTGGGAGGGTCCCCCAGGAGACTGTCTTAGCTGGGACAGTGCTCTCGAGAGCTGCAGGGTCCTTGGATGCCATCGTGTTGGCTCCCTGGTATTACAGGTGGGGGGACACACGTCTCAAGAGCAGAAGGGACGGCCCGGGAGGGACTTTGAGGGAGGCATTTTGGGTTTGCCTGCCCGGCCCCTGGGCCTTGCGGAAGGGGTACCTCAGTGGAAGGGTGGTTGCTGGGCAAGGCCACCTGGCCACTCCCCTGCCCTGCTGGCCCGCCATGTGGTACGTATGGCCAGCCAGATCCTGCCCTTGTCTGTCTAGAGGCTTGTTGCCAAGGGCAGGAAAGGCCGATGGGCCCCTGCCTCCAGCCTGTCGGGCCTGAGAAGGGCCTGCTGTGGTGGGTTTGCTGTGGTCAGGGTCAGGGCAGGCAGGTTACGTGTTGCCCTCTCCCACCCTAGCGGCCCCCTCCTCGGGCAGGCTCCTCCCAGCAGCGAGTGGAAGCCCGGGCAGAGGCCGCCGTCGCAGGCAGAGGCCCCCCCTGATGCCAGCCCTGCTTGCCCCTCACACTGCCAGGTCTTCACGTGCTCCGTGTGTCAGGAGACCTTCCGCCGGAGGATGGAGCTGCGGGTGCACATGGTGACCCACACAGGGGAGATGCCCTACAAGGTCAGGCTCGGCCTGTCCCCAGGGCCGTGGGCCAAGGGGCAGCCCGTTACGTGGGATGGTGCCAGGCGCCTCCCAAGGAGCCCAGCCTTCCCCACCCACCCGGTGCCCCCATGCCTTCGGGCAGGGCCACTGGCCCTTTTTGGGCCCTTGTTTCTTTCCAGGGCGGGCAGGTTCAGCATCCCTGTGGGTATGGCACGGGGCCTCCCTGGTACATCCCTCACACCAGGGCAGGGAGCCCCTGGCTGGGCCCTGCCCTGGCCCCTTCATGGCTCAGGAGTGGCCAGGGTTGTGGGTGCAGACTGCCTTGGTGACTGTGGGCCTGTTTTCCAGTGTTCCTCCTGCTCCCAGCAGTTCATGCAGAAGAAGGACTTGCAGAGTCACATGATCAAGCTGCATGGAGCCCCCAAGCCCCACGCCGTAAGTGCCAGGCTGTGCCGAGGGCTGGGCCGGCACGTCCGTGCTGGACTGGAGCTGGCCCAGAAGGCCCAGGGGAGGAGGGGCTCCCACAGCAGCCCCACCCTGCCTTCTCCTGGCCTTGCTCCCTCTACCTGTCCCCTCTGCCCCGCAGTGTCCCACCTGTGCCAAGTGCTTCCTGTCCCGAACGGAACTGCAGCTGCATGAGGCTTTCAAGCACCGCGGGGAGAAGCTGTTTGTGTGTGAGGAGTGCGGGCACCGGGCCTCGAGCCGGAACGGCCTACAGATGCACATCAAGGCCAAGCACAGGTGGGGGCCTGTCCCTGCTGCTGGCTCCAGGCCAGCGAGTTGGCTTCTGGGAAGGCAGTTTGCTGCCACCTGGAACAGGGTGCCCTCCACGCTGAGTGTGACGCCTGCAGCCTTTCTGGGTTGGGGGCAGCTGGGGGGTCCAGCCTGGACCTAGTCCAGGCTCCAACAGGCTCTGGGCTGGAGCCAGTGCCCCGTTCCTGGCGCTGCCCGAGCCCTCCTTCTGCCAGGCAGCTCCTCAAAGCCTGGGCCGTCCCAGTGATCAGGCAGGCTTTCTTCGGCCTTGCTGCTTCCTTGGCTCTGGAGCCAGGCATGCTCCCAGCTTCAGCGGAGCAAAGGGGCCGCTTCCCTCGGTGATGGCCTCTGCCTGTGTCCCCCACCCGGACAGGAACGAGAGGCCGTATGTCTGTGAGTTCTGCAGCCATGCCTTCACCCAGAAGGCCAATCTCAACATGCATCTGCGCACACACACGGGCGAGAAGCCTTTCCAGTGCCACCTCTGCGGCAAGACCTTCCGCACCCAAGGTGAGGCAGGCCCGTCCCTCCCTGTCCCAGGGCTGAGGCCTTGTGGCTGAGCCCTCGCTTGTCCCCGCAGCCAGCCTGGACAAGCACAACCGCACCCACACTGGCGAGAGGCCCTTCAGCTGTGAGTTCTGCGAGCAGCGCTTCACCGAGAAGGGGCCCCTGCTGAGGCATGTGGCCAGCCGCCACCAGGAGGGCCGGCCCCACTTCTGCCAGATCTGTGGGAAGACCTTCAAAGGTACCCGGGCGAGCGAAGGCATCTCCCCCCTCCCCCTGCCCTGGGCAAAGCCGAGGGCGGGACATCTCCATTCCTTGCCCACTAGAGTTGGTGTCTCCAGCGGAAGGAGTCAGGTGCAGCAGTGGCTTTCCCATGCTCCTCCTCGGTGGGGACCTCTCCCACTCCCCATTCCCACCTGCTTTGACCAAAGTGGAGGTGGTGGAAGCTCCCCAGGGCCCTGGACTGTAGTGACTGCGGGGTGGCACTGTATAGCCTGGCAGTTGCAAACCCAGAGGACTCCCACCTCAGGGCGAGGCCCACTTCCCTTCCCACTACCGGCTCTCCTAACGGGGCTTTCCGCCTGCAGCTGTGGAGCAGCTGCGTGTGCACGTCCGCAGGCACAAGGGAGTAAGGAAGTTTGAGTGCACCGAGTGTGGCTACAAGTTCACCCGGCAGGTAAGCCTGGGGTCACCTCCTCCCGTCTCCTGGGGCTCCCTCCCAGCACAGCCCTGAGCCCCCCTCCCCCCAGGCCCACCTGCGGAGGCACATGGAGATCCACGACCGGGTGGAGAACTACAACCCACGGCAGCGCAAGCTCCGGAACCTGGTCATCGAGGACGAGAAGATGGTGGTGGTGGCGCTCCAGCCGCCTGCTGAGCTGGAGGTGGGCTCCGCTGAGGTCATCGTGGAGTCCCTGGCCCAAGGGGGCCTGGCCTCCCAGCTCCCTGGCCAGAGACTGTGTGCGGAGGAGAGCTTCGCCAGCCCGGGTGTCATGGAATCCTCGCTCCTCATCACAGCTGCCATTCCTGAGGACTGTGACACATAGCCCCACACCCGCCACAGCCCACGTGGCTCCCACCCTCAATAAACCACATGACTTTGGACTAGGTTGTTTCTGCTTGACCAGTGGTCTGATCTCCAGTAACCTGGCCTTCAGATGTGCTAGTTCCCCACCGTGTCCCCTAGAAGAAACAGTGCCCCTTAGAGCTCAGCCAGCAGTTCCCCACTTTGTCAGGAGACCTCACCAGAGCAACACTTGGGCGGGTAGTTTTGGGGGCCAAGCCTCAGCTCGGGAAGCTGTCATCTGTGTCCTATCCCTCCTTCAGTCAGGGTTTTAGAACTGGGAACAGGGGTCCGACTCAGGAGTAGCAATCCTATTTCATAGCTGGGGTGCTGCCAGCTGGTGGGGGCAGAATTCATTACTGAGGCCCTGAAGTCAGAGTGGCCAGGGCCGCAGACGCCGGCCTCACTGGCTCAAGGCTTCCACCGGTGACTGTGTGGCCCCCCTCAAGGGGCCTGGGAAGGGTTGTGGTCGTGGCTGAACCCTGGTTGGAGGCACGCCCGCAGATGAGACCCTTCCTTGGGAGGGCCTGAGCTTGGTTAGCTTGTCCAGGAAGCCTGGGGCACAGGCAAGGCCAGGCCCCTGGTTCTGACATGGGGAACGATGGGGTGCTGTGTGTCAGAGGAAGAGTGCATCTCGATTCCTTCCCAACTCCTTATTTACAGCTCTGTGACGCGGGGCAGGTCACTAACCACATTTCCTCATCTTTTAATGGAATTAGTAACAGTACACGCTTCCTAGACAATTAAATGAGGGAGCCTACTGTTCCAGTTCTCGACTGCTGGACTACAAACCACCCCAGAACTTCCCTGGGGTCGGGTTGCTCTGAAGATGGCTTACTTCTGGGCCTGGCTGTGGGCCTGTGCCCCTCTCCACCGGTTGCTTGCATGTCCTCGCAGCTTGGTGGCTGGGTGCCCAAGCCTGTGGGGCCTTTTTATGACCTAGCCCTGGAAGCCAGTATCACCTCTGCCATGCTGTTAGTCCAGTCACCAAGAAAGTCACTCCCCAGATTCCAGGGGAGGGAACTCGACCCCAGCCCTCAATGGGAGAAGTGTCAGAATCTGTGCAAAGTTACAATCGCCCCACCCAGCAGTGCTGCTCAGTGCTTGGCCTGGGGCGGAACTCTGAACGAGTGGTAGTGATGGTCATGACCCCAAGAGCTTGAGTCAGGCCAGACTTAAATTCCATCACAGGCGGATCCCTGAAACACCAGCCCCATGCTGTGCCAAGTTCCTCCTGGAGTTTTGGGAGGAACGCTACCTTCTGTTTAGACCCAGAACATATCTAACCGTCTTTCCTTTTATCCCGTGACTTCTGGGGAGCTCAGAGGTAGTGAGAGTTCAAGTGCAATGATGGACACCCAGGTTCTGAGCTGCTTCAGAGCTATTTTGGCAAGGATATTAAAAAGGCAAACTATGGCCTCAAAATGCTCCCTTCCCAGCCCAGGCACTCCTCCTTGGGTTCGGAGGGCCTGCAGAGGTGAGGGACATTTCTGAACTTCCTGGCCCCGGGAGTCCACGGCCTCTACCAGGACCTTCTGTCATTTGAAGGGTCCGAGGTTCACCCAGACAGGATATCTCATCAGCCAGGGACCGCGCCGACAGGAGGGGCAGGGGCAGCGTGCCAACAGGCGGAGTCATGGAGGCCGAAACCAGCTTTGGACAAACCACCTGTGTTCCTCGTGTCTTGGGCTTGGCCGCCTCTTTACTTCATACCTTGTAATGATTCAAGACGAGACTGGGCCTGAAAAGCTTTGCCCCCAAGACAGCAGAAGCCCCGGGTACACTCCCCCAACGCCACCAGCACGGGGACACTGGTCCTCGACACCTCTCTGCTTCCCTTGCCTGACGCGCTCGGCCTCAGCCCAAAGGTTTCCAGACGGCAGCATAAAGGCTACAACACCAAGTGTCTAGGAAATATTTTTATTTCAAAATGTATTGAAGGAATCCTAAAACCTTACAGGATTCTGGACACGTAAGCCTACAGAACAAATAAATACGCAAACCGACCCCACCCTCGGGGGTTGGAACTGGGTGCTGGACACTGAGGGAGGGTGTCCGCTAGTACCTAAGTCTCTGAAGTCATAAATATAGAATACTCCATAGATCAGTATTAAATACTATCACTGAATTCTCATAACTTAATCTGTCTTGTAGGCTGATAAAGGCGTGTGCATCCAACACCCCCAGTGGCCCAGCCTCTCCCCAAGTCAGTGCGCAGACATCTGTGAAGTGGGGGCCCCTTGGCAGCACAGAACCCACGACGGGAAGCCAGGAGTGCAGAGAAGGGCGCAGACGTTTCTGAGGGGCTGTCCCTGACCCTGGACTGCCAGCTGGAGACTGGGGGGACCTGCTGCTGCTGAGGCTGCTGCCTCCCCTTCCTGTCGTCCTGAGTCTTTAAAATCAAAGACCGAGTCTGGGTGGCGGGGACCTGGAGACGGACACCAACCCAACCCTGTTCTCTCCTTCACTGGCCCACACCAAACCAACCGTCATCTGGGCAGCCGCCAGACAGTGGGATGGTCAGTCCTAGGGTGGCCAGTCGGGGTGAAATATCAAAAAGAGAAGGAGCAGAACTCAGGACACTGGGCCCCCTGCCACGAGGGAAGGCCAGACAAAGGCTGGTTTTATAAGAAAAGCAAGAGCGTTTGCAGCCCTGTCTCAACAACAAAGCTTTAGGTACTCTGCTGCCCAGGGGAAATCCTTGACCTTGACAGGGTCACAGCTATGCCTGTCTGGAGGGAGGAGGAGAGAGCTCCGGTGACCATAGCACACACCAACTTTCCACTCCCTGCTTCACCCTCTTGGGCTGCCAAGGGGGCCTGCTAGGGAGACAGCCCCAAGGAAGGGTGCCAGCAGTCTCTATGAGACCAAGGCCTACTGCATCCGTCCTCTGGGAGGCCCTCCACATGACCTGTCATAAGTTATCACAATATCTGTGTGACATGTCCCCTCACTAACTGGGCAATACACGGTCACTCTGGCACTGAGCTCGGCGCTGGCTATATATAATCAGGGCTTGATCAATCCCATGAGGCCCAGCCCTACCTGCTGTCCCTGTGCCACTGACAGGACACAAGCCATCACACCTGGGCTGTCTCTGCCTGCAAAGGAACGGAAGACAGCCAACCCACGGGGCACAGACAACCTCTGGGTGGGCTCAGCCACAGCAGCCCGTGGACAGGGAGCATTGAGGGCTAAGACCACGGCTGGGGTGAGAGGGGCAGGTGAGCCCGGACTCGCCCAGGAGGGATGAAGGCAAACCCGGGGGACGGTCCCCAGGGAGCAGACGCCTGGGCAGGAAGCACCAGTGCGGAGCGGCTGACTGAGCACATGGAGCCCAGGTACACTTCCCCGAGGCCCACAGGAGCCTCTGGCAGGCCCGCCCCCGCCCCCACCTCCAACAGTGCCTGGCGCACAGTGGGTGCTCAGGAGGGGCAATCCCAAGAGGAAGGGAGGGGCTGGCTGTGAGCTGTGGCCGCTCCAGCAGCGTGTCCGGGAGCACAATTTCTAACCTGGAGCGATGACACCGCACACAGGAGGGCCCACCGGACAGCGCGAAGGCTACTAGACTTCCTCCCCAGAGCCACCATGCTACCTGGCCAACTTAGTTCACTGGGTGAAGGCAACGCAATGAACATTTGCTTTCAATTTATCTAACGAGGAAAATGCAAACACCCTTCTCTCTGGAAGGAAAACAAATTCAAGCAAAGGCTACTTTGGAGACTTTGTGGAGACAAGACCACCCAATCCACGGAAATGCTCCCACTCCTCAGAGAAAACAGGGACCCCTGAACTGTGGGGTTTCCTGGGAGCCCGTGCTTCTGAGGGGCTTAAGGCACTGCCCCCCTCACCCTGCAGAAAGCTTCGGCAGAGGCACTGTAACAGAAAAAAATCAAACCAATCCAACCCTGGTTCCGGCTGCCCTCTTCTTCTAAGGAAAGGCCAAACTGCATTTCAAACCTGTGACCAACCACCGAGGCCATGCTGCCCAGAGCTTGCTTTGCAAGAGGCAGGATTCTCGTTCACAGGCTGGCTGGTGAGGGCGTCTGCAGCTGTCTGCCTGCCTGGGCTTCAACCTTGGACTTGCAGGCTTCTGCCCTCCCTGCCTCACCCTGAGACAAGGTCCCGGAGGTCTCCAAGCCAGGGGGGAGCACGCCAGCCAGTGGGGTGGGTGAACAGGGACACCCAGTGTCTGCCTCCATCCAGGTCCACTAGAGACAGCAAACACTTAGCAAGTCCCTCTGGGCCCCCAAGGCCACACTCCTGTCCAGGCCCACGGCCCTGCACCCCAGGGTCTGAGCTCACCTCTTGGAGGCCCATCTCAGTGAGGGGTCTTTTGGTGTGAGACCCCCTTCCTCTGGGGAGCTGGCCAGGTGGGACGTCCAGACTGGACAGAGTTTGGGACCCTACTGCAGCCATCTTCCGCCTGATTCCCAGTGTTCCAGTACAGCCGGGTCATTCTCAGACTTCCATGGGAGGAGGACTTCCTCGACCCCAATCACACCACAGAAGTGGCCCTCCTCTCCTCCAGGTGGTGGCAGCAGGTGGGGTGTGTGCTGCATTGGTGAGGTGGGGGCGCCACAGGCTGGGGTGACCTGCTGGGAGCCAGAGACGTGCCGGCGGGGAGGAAACCCTTCCTGGACCAAGGGAGGGGCGCTCACAGCTGGCTTTGGCCCCAGCAGCTGTAACTCAGGCTCTGGATGCACAGGACTCCGCAGGCGTCAGACCCCGACGCTTGCTCAGCAGCCCGAGTCTGTGCTCTGCCAGGCGAGCCCAACCTGTCCTCGTGCACGAAGGAGGGGTGGCTGCCCCTCAGAGGTGCTGGGTTACCTGCACCGAGGCCCTCCCTGGGCCAGGCCTGGGCTAGTGCAGCTCGTGAGGGTTCTGCGGTGGCCGGGGCCGGCCCACATCCATGTCACTGCTGCCACTGTCCAGCTCAAAGCCATGCCCACCCGAGAGCGTCTGGGGCATGAACTGGCGGAAGATGCTGACGCTGCCATGCCAGAAGGTGGGCTCCGGGAGCCGTCCCACCACGCTCCATGCCCGAGTCTCAGGGTCGTAGGCCTCCACCACGTCCGAGAGTTCAAACGTATTGTCATAGCCCCCCGACACATACAGCTTCCCTCCGAGGACGGCCAGGCTGCCCCCCACGTGCACCTGTGGGCCAAGGGGGACAGGTGAGCGAAGGCCGGCAGCCAGGGCACGGCAGAGTCCCTGCAGCCCCTCTCCATGGAGAAGGCGCCCGGGACCCTCGGGAGGGGCTGCCTGAGCATTTCTGGAAGTGGTGCTGGGAGCCAACCTCTGCACGCTTCCCAGGACAGGCCAATATCTTTCCTACACACCAGCTAGGAAACGGGGCTCCACGCCCAGGGGTTACATGCCACACCCCATCTATGGTGCTCAGGGGGCTACAGAGGCACCAAGTCACCCTGTGAGCAGCACTAGCCCTCTAAGGTGGGCACAACTGTCTTCCCCGTCTGTAAGATGGGGACACAGCCTCACGTGGCTGATAGCTGCAGAGCTGGGACTTGACCCAAAGTCTGGGCTCTGAGCCATGAGGCTACCCCATCTTTCCCAGATTTGCTATCATGAGCACGTATAGCTCATTATGGGGCAAACCATGAAGCCACAGCCCCTAGATGTGAAGAAGGGAAGCTGCGACGTTGTAGATGTCAGTCCCCAAAGGCCTCCTGTCTGACCTCGTCCCCTGTGGTCCGCTTGTTCGTGCTGCTCCAGCCACACTGAGCTGTGGGGTCTGTTCCAGGAGCACACCAGGCACGCCCCGCCCGGGCCTCTGCACTTGTCTGTCTGCGGAACACTCTTCCCCAGGATGCTCTCTGCTCCATGGCAGCTACTCAATGAATGCTGGTCCACATGGGTCCACACCTCGCTGAGCTGTGTGACCCTGGGATCTTATTTAAGGTCTTGGTGTCCCAGTAACCCTCAAGTACAAACTGAGGACCACACTGGCCCTCTGTTAAGTGACAGAACACCGGGAAAGGGCTCAACACAGGTCCCGATCACCAGGACTGTCTCCCAAATACGTAGGATGGCACTTGGGCCAGAAAATAGGACCGGCCTGTGCTTCCAACACAGGCAGACGTACCTGGTTCATGGATGGGATCTTGTCCCACTCGTTTTTTGCAGGGTTGTACACATCCACCTCGGCAGAGTCGTCCCTGTGGGCAGAACGAGGACAGCAGCTCAGAGCGAGGAAGGGAGCGCCCCTGCGTGCGAAGGGCTGCAGAGGAGGGTCCTCCAAGCCCTTTGCCTTTGGGGGCGTCTTTGGTGCCGTTTGGCAACCCAATGGCCAGTGAGACTCTATCCCTGACTTCAGGCCCCCACCACCTATCTGGCCTGGGCTTCAAGGACACAACCCAGCCTGCTCCCCAAACCTAAAGATCACGCCTTCAGGTGCTTAAACCCTTCCCCACCGCCCAGCACCAACACACTGCCCCCTCCCCTCACTGCGGCCATGCCAGTTTGCTTCAGATATTGAACTTATCAGGGTCCTTCCCACCACTCATCCTTCTGTGGCTGTGCAGTCCAGGCAGCCCCACCACCCCCTCCCCGCGTGCCCTGGCCAATGCCCTCACCACCGCTGCCAGCCCCGTAATCCCATCCTGCTCACTGCTGCGTCCCCAGCGCCCAGCAGGGTAACCACGGCTGCAGGAAGGAAGACACCAATGCTGTGCTTCCCTTCAACCTTATGTGGCACGCTCCTATCCCTGCAATCAAGGGTTCAAAGACACTGCCTCCGAAACAGTAGAAATAATATTCCCAGGTCAGGGGTCAGCAGGGTGGCCAGGCAAGAAATACTTTAGGCCCTGTAGACCTTCCCCAACACTGCCATCCTAGCACAACCAGCAGCCACAGGCACACGTATATAAAGGGGCAGCTGCGTCCCAACAAAACCTCATTTACGGATGCAGAGATTTCAATTCTGCACTTTTCTCATAGGTGATGAAATATCACCCTTGCTTTGATTTTTCTTACCTCTAACTATCTCAGTGTAATGTAAAAGTCATTCTCACGTTGGAGACCATATGACGACAATTAATACTGGAACCCACTGGTGTCGCCTTACAGCCGATTCTTAGACCACCCCCTCTGCATTAGCCTCTGACCCATTAGTCGAGAGAGTGTCTCGGAAAACTGAGGCTGGATGGAATGATATCTGTAAAGCTGTCTCGGGGAGTGTCTCGGTCTGACTGGGACCTGATGGAATGATATCAGCTGTCTCCCCTGGGAGGACATGTAATTATGTCCTGGGGCAATGTGGTGGAGTACGAAGGCATAGCATTTGCTGGAGTACACTGGGAAAAGGTCAATGGAAAAGGCCTTAAGGCGCACAAGAATATACGGTTAATGACTTACAGCATAGCAGTTTACTTCCTTGAAAATTATCAATAAAAACCATGCGTCGACCCGATTCGGAGCTCAGTCTAACTCTGAAGGCTGAGTCCCTTGGTCTCGCTCTTAAATCTTACTTCTGTCTCTCTTTATTCAATCTGCGTCGCCCCTCTCGTGTCCCATTTGCCCTTGCCACGCAGGACGTGACACACTGGGGTACCTGCCACCCAGCAGGGACACGTAAGCTGCAGCCAGAAGGCACCAGGCTGAAAAATGTTCCCAGCCCCTTCGCTTGTAGGGACCGGGCACCCTGGCCAAGGAGCCACCTTAACCAAGGACCAGGGCAGGCACCGTCTGGCGAGGATGAGGCAGCCGGTCACTGCTCAGGGTCACTGCTCACAGCCCAGGACAGCAGCAGTGAGGGGATGAGGCCTCCACAGAGCACTGCCTGCCTGCCTGGGATGGCACCTTTTGGCAGGAACTGCCCTGATGGCTGGCATTCCGAGGAGGGGGTTATGTGGCTCAGGAGGTACCAAACTGCACGAACAAGGTGGCTCTACACTCGAGTGCATGAGACCCAGGCTTTGCCTGCACGCTCACACAAGGCCAGGCCCCCACTACCCACCTGAGGGACAAATGTGCTGCCTTCCTGGCGGCTCACTTTTACAGCCAGATGGGGGGAAGGGGCAGAGCTAATCCCGTCTTCCCCAGCTCCCCACCCTGTGGCTTAGGTGGACTCTTACAAAGGCTAACAGGGGGTGTGGGGGCAGGAGGCACCTAATGCTTCCACATGGGGTGGTTTAGCAATGACAAGTGACTGGAACCAGGAGAGGAAAGCGTAGGGGCCTTACAAGGCAGGCCGGCCCTCGGACACCCTTGCTCCAGGACCACAGGGCGGGAGGACATTCTCAAAGGCACCAGCCTGCAACTATGGCCCAGGGGCTGGCACTCTGATAAGCTGTATTTATAGATGCCTCCACCTCCTCTTTGAAGACATCTACCACGACTTGGGGGAGCCGGGCGAAGGGTCAGATGTTTGTAACAGGACCAGGGGCTGGCAGAGATTCTAGGCAGGCCGCAGGTTCCTGGCACACGTGGCCACTTGCCTGGCCCCTTGGCAACTTGCAAGCAGCCACCTCTGTCCTAATGTGCTTACCCAGAAAGCCTGGGAAGGAGCCTGGAGCCTGGGGGCAGCTCAGATGGCGGGGGGCGGGGCGTGCTGAGAAGCGAAGCTCACAGGTCCTCTGAGAGGAAAAGGGAAGCTGCGTTCATACCTTCCCCTTCCCTCCTGGTCCGGTAACCTCAGGCAGGCTCCAGGCCAGGAAGGGGAGCCGCAGACACACACAAGCTGTGCACAGCAGGCAGGCGCTCCAGTTCCCCGGCTGTCCACTGGCCCATAAGGAGGGGGCATTTAGCTGTGACTATCATCATGACCAGTGGACACAGTGACCCAATGGCTGTCCATCTCCGCTCCATGCTGCCAGGGCTGCAGCCTGGCTGGTCCAGGGAGGACATGGTACAGTGACACCACACAGGGACCTGGGACGGATGTCCTCGGTTCAAACCTTGTGCCACCACTTAAAGCCCGTGGCTGGAAGCCCCTTACCCCTCTACGCCTCTGGAACAGGGACGACAGCAGTGCCCATCTCATCAGACAGTCAGAGACACCAACCATGAAAACGTCCACAAAGCGGGCCACACGGCACTCAGCACACCGGGGCCCAAACAGGCGCTAGCTACTGTCATCATTCCCACAGGTAGCTTCGGGTCCTGCTCAACACCAGATCCTGAACTGGTAGGATCCTCGGACACTTGCATTCATTCCGTCATGAGCCCTCTCCATGCCAGGCCAGGCGGGAAGGGAATGGACAGAACCTGCGAAAATGCACTGGACACGAAAGTGCTGCTTTCAACAGGGAGCGGGCCCGAACCCTCCACTTGGTTTCTTGTACCACCTGCCTGAGCGTGGACACTGCTAGATGAGCAAAGGGCCCCTCTGACAAGTGCACAGCTCCCCTAAAAGCTCTCCACTGGTCTTTTATAAAGAATCCCTCTTAAGGGCTGGCCGAGTGGCTCAGTTGGTTAAGAGCTCGCTCAAGAGTTTGAGCTCTGAGCAACAGCAGTTTGATGCCCGGCCCGAGCTGAGCAGCCATTGAGCTGCCAAAAGGTGGCAGGATGGCTCAGCTGGGGAAAAAAAAGAATCCCTCTTCGATAGGGCAGGTTCCCTTTGAACCAATGCGATGTGGGAACAGCCAGGGCCTTTAGTGGATCCTCCAGGTGAAAGTTCAGCAAAAGGACACATTTCATTCAGCGTCTATGAACCTCAGAAACATTCTCTGAAAGGACCTCACTCCACCACACTTGGGATCTCTTGGTTAAGAAAACCTAGAAGCCCTGAGAAAGCGCTCGAAGAAACGCGGCAGAAAGAAACAGCTGCTCCAGGTCAGAAAGACCCCTTCTCGGATCCCAGCCTGGCCTCAGTTCCCTTATCTGTGTAATGGGAGAACAGCAATGATATGCTTAGCATCACACAGTGGCCTTGGCCCCTGGGAACTCACCTGATGAAATACATGAGTCCATTCAGAGTCACTGTCTTGGGGGCAAAGGACCAGGGCGGGAGCTGGCCACAGTCCACCAGCGACCACAGGTCCGTGTCCGGGTGGTAGCACTGCATCACCATGGTCTCCTTGCCAGCCAGCGAGCCGACGGCATAGAGCTGGCCACGGCAGGCTGTGGTGGAGCAATTGTCCATGGGGTAGGTCATGGGCTGGAGGGCCTCCCAGGAGTCGGTGGTGTGGTCATAGCGCTCCGTGCTGTCTGAGGCTACCACGTACAACAGCCCGTCCAGCACAGAGGAGCTGTGGTACTCGCGGGCCTTCAACATGGGAGCCACCTCCGTCCACTCGTTCACGCTCGAGTTGTACCTCCACACACAGTCGTAGAGCCGGGAGCCATCGGACCCACCTGCCGGGACATGTACGATGGACAGGTCAGCCCATGCCGACTTGGGGTGAGTCACCCACCTACGAGTCCCTGAACTTCCGAGAGGGTGTCTCCAGGGGAGGGATGAATCTCTGGGCTTTGAGGTAAACACACGTCCTCCCTCATCGATACCCAGGCCAGGGGCTCCATGCCAGGGCTAAGGCAATGCAGGTGCTGCCCGCTGCCCAGGAGGGCGCCAGAGCTTCATGCCATACAACACTGCCAAATCTCTGCAAGCCAAGCAAAGGCCCTGGGGCTGCAATTCTAAGTAAACAGCAACCTCGGTCTGGACCCCAAATACAGTCAAGCACCTCAGCTGGCCCAGGGCATCAGGTCTGAGTCAGTTCTCCCAGGGAGCCACAAAGCACATGGGGTGGGGTGCGTAGAGACTTGCTCACCAAATTCTAGGCTTCCTGGCCATCCCCTAATGAAGGCTGTGCCAGAAATAGCTGAGAGGAAGTCTACTCCACGCTGCAAGCAAGAGACCCAACACAGAAAGTCATGCTGTGAGTGGACTTCTGGGCTCTGCTTCTTGGTTTAGGTGCAGGTTACTGACATGCCTTGTTTGGAAATACTCATCAGATCACACAAATATATGTCTACGTTTCTGTATTTATTTAAATAAAAAAGCTAAAAAATAAAAAACTGGTGCTGACTGTAATCAGCAATTAAACCAGGTCTACTCAGGACTTAGAATTCCCTCAGCATGAAGGGACCCCAGAACCCTGGGGTTGCATTCCCTACTCCAAAGCTGGCGCCACAGGCGGACCAGGCCTGACATTCTATCCGTCTCATGGCCCTGAGCTTTTTTTTACAGGGAGAAAACAAGGTTCCTATGAAGTGCGCTCTGCCTGCCTCCTCCCTTCTATAGGAGAACTGTCTACAGCAGCTGAGGCCGCTAGCTCGCCCCCGTGAAATTCCCTACAGGCAGCTGTCTGGAACGACCAAGCCACCTGTCTAAACCCAAAGGATTAGCTGCTCAGCTGAGACATTTATGGGTGTGCAAAGTTGGGGCCAGTCTGACCAGTTTGGGGAGGGAGTTCCCTGGCCAGATTTGGGGATGAGGGGCACAGTTCCCAAACAACACACGGCCAACCTTAGATTGCAAAGGGGCTGATTCTGGAAGATGCCAGCAGAGGCTGGACCTGGAGCTGAAGGCCAAGGAAGCACGTCCTTCGGCTGGGATGCCTCCCACTTGTCAGCTCGCAGCCCCACAGGAATACTCAAGCGAGTCTCAGAGGTGGCTTTCTCTGGAATGTGCCAGGCTGGGCACAGCCACTGAAATGGCCCAGCCCCTACGGGGCCTCACTGCCTGATAACAGCCCTCAGCAGGGCCTGAACGCACACTTAGTCTGCTTCTTCCCTTATATAGCCGTCACAGACACCGCCCCTCCTCACCCCATGGAAGGAGGCAGCCTTCTGTTTGAGCCAGGATTTAGCCTTAATAAAAAATGTGGGAGAAGCCCAGAACTGGGGCTGGCTGGGACCCGCCCAGCATGACTCGGCAGTGTTTTGGGGCTTGGGCCAAGTAACTGGAAGAAAACCTCTTAGCATGTGACTATGTTTACAGTCGCTGGGCAGGGAGCAGCCTAAACACCATGTGACCCACAGAGCATAGCCAAGGTGCAAGTCTGAGAGAATCTAGTCACCGATGACAAAATGCAGGCGTCAGGAAGCCTGGGTGGCTCAGCTGGGAGGGAGAAATCCCCAGGAGTGGAGAATGGATGCCTCACAGTGAGTCAGCCCAGGACCTGTCCCTGACCACCCTTAGAGAGAAAAGAAAGCACCCGTTGTGTGGGGTGAATGCCCCAGTATCATCCAACCAAATGGGGGTGGGGTGGGGATGGTTGCACCTCCCCAGCAAGGAGTGGGCTACCCAGGCAACGACAATGTACGAGTTAGAGACCCACAATCAACCACTTGTCCCCGCTACACAAGGGGCTCTTCTAGGTCCAAAGTATCCATCCTAGAGCCCTACCCACTGGCCAGCTTGGGGAAAGGGAAGTAACTGCCTGCACTCAGGTGGGGTTCTGGACTCCACGTTCTGTGGGTGTCTCTGGCAAGTATACGTGCCCCCCCCCCAGGGGCGCAGGTGACCAACTCGAGAGACCCCTGCCTGAAGAAGCCGGCCGGCTTAGAGTCCTCCTGAACAATCCACTCACCTGTCACGTAGATGTCGTTGCCCAGCGCCACGATGCTGTAGCCCCCACCCAGGTGGTCGGGGAACTCGGCCAGGTAGCGCCACTGGCCCGTCTGCGGGTTGTAGCAGTCGACTGTGACCAGCTCGTCGCAGTCCTGGTCGCAGCCACCCACGAGCACGAGGATCTCCGCGAGGCCAGTGGAGGGGCGTGGGCGCATGCGAGGGCAGGGGCCGCGGTCGTGGCGGTCATAGCGCGCCGCTTGGAAGTCGCGTGCCTCGCGCAGCAGGCGCAAGCAGGGCGGGCAGCGCGCCACCAGTGGCTCGGCCTCGACGTGAGCCAGCAGGTAGAAGCGGCGCACGAAGGGCAGGCGCACAGCCTCCAGCAGCTGCGGCCAGTGCGCGGCGCGACGCGGCGGGTCGGCGCGCACCCAGCGCAGCGCCAGCTGGTAGGCGGCCTCTTCCTTGGGCACGCACAGCCCGTCGTCGCGCAGGTAGCGCAGCAGGCGCGCCAGCGGCAGCCGTTCCAGCTGCTCCGCGCCCAGCTCGCCCACGTGGCGCAGAATAAAGCGCTGCGCCGCGTTCGCCAGACCCGCGCAGCTGAAGGCCTCGGCGAAGTCCTGCATGTCCAGGCAGTTGGCCAGGTCGAGCTGCTGTTGCAGGAAGGCGCCGCATGCCTCCTTCACGGCCGGGAACTGCAGCAGGTCTGCGGCGCGCAGAAGCGGCTCGGCGTTGTCGCCGCTCACGGCCACGCGGCCAGTGTAGCTGAAGTCGAGCAGCAGCTGCAGCATGTCGGGCGGCACGCCGTGCAGGCGCACCCGCTCTGCGCGGCTCTCGCGCAGCTGCCCGGCGAACATGGCGCGGAAGTAGGGGCTGGCGGCTGCCAGCACGGCGCGGTGCGCCGGGAAGTCGCGCCCGCCCGCCGCCTCCAGGGTTACGTCCAGGAATTTGCGCTCCGCACGGAGCTGGCTCAGGCCGCGCAGCAGGCTCAGCGCGTGCGCAGGGTCCGAGAAAGGGAGGACGGCCAAGGGCGCCGGCCGCTCCATGGCGCCTTCGCTGCGGGACGCAGGGGAGGGGTACCGCGCTGCTCCACGAGGCCGCGGCCGGGGCCAGCGGGAAAGACACGGCGCGCCCGCCGCCGCCTCTATAAATACGGCCGGGCGCCTCGGCCTCTGGGGGCCAGCCCAGGCGTGGGCGGGGCGCCGGCGGCACCACCCACTTAACCTCTCCGCGCCTGGCGCGGCCACCGGGCGAACCGAGCTGGCTCAGCCTCCCTCGCGCGCGCCCGCCCCCGCGCTCCCGGCTGAGTCACCGCCGCCCGCGCCTGCTCCCTCTCTCTGCCCTTCCCGGGCTTCCATCAGCCTCCTGCCGACGCTCGGGCCCGGGACGGCGGGTGACAAATGTTCTCAATGAGGGTTTGCAGCGCCGCGCTCCGGAATGGGGGCCCTCCAGGGCCTACGCACGAGCCAGCCCGGCCCGGTTGCTGAACAAAACCGTGTTCAGTGGGGGCGAGCGCGGCGCCCGAAACCGAAGCTATCCTTTCGCGCCAGACCTCCCAACTGCGTCCGCCCCCGAGCTCTAGGGCAGCTCGGTACAATGGCTTTTTTTTCAATGCCACTAGTTCCATGGGTTGCTAGTTAACCCTTTCACGGAAAAAATTTCAAACAACAGGATTTTCACCATTCAGGACCAAAGCATGAACAAGTATAAGGTTTTGAGGTGACGTTTTTTCTTGGCGCATTTGTAAGTGACACGGGGCCAGATGCCAGGAATCGGCTCCACTGTGTTCCTGCAGGAGTTTCAAACTTGACTAACTCGGTCATTAACTTTCGTCAGCATAACAAGGCGTAATTGCAGTTTCCGATTCATAGGGACTCTTTCAGGCTCCAGAGCTGCCCTCCGAAGGGGGCAGGCCTGCTCTGGGGTTGGTCACACGGCCACCGCCACCTCTCTTTGCCTCCTCCACTCCTGGAGATGGAACTGTGAAAGGAGAAAGCTGAGGATAAGAGAAATTCCTAAGAAGTACAAATGTACTATTAAACTGAACAAAAAACTTAAAGCACCAGAAAGTTATTTTGGGAAAAAGCAGTTTCTTTCCTGTTCCACGAGAGGGGATACTAGGGGTCGGGACAGTGCGTTCAGCTCAAGGTCAGACAGGGGACTGCCTTAAAAACCAGGAAATGTGGCCGTTCAGAAATGTCAGTCACTTGTGGGGTGGCAGTCAAGAAAGGAATCTGTCTTATTTTGGTTCTAATAGATACAATACCATGACTGCATTTTCAACAAAACCATATGGAAAAAAAAACCTCACTTGGAAACCCATTTTTTCCTTTAGTGTTCGCTTTGTTCAGTTTTAGAAAAGACCCTTGTTTTGCCTCCAGCCCTACTTTTGCAGATGAAACCTGGGGTTTTGTTATTTAATAGTTCCCCACCCCCATGCGGGTAGGCCTCACAGACACTCCTGATGAACCCTCCAGCCCCAGGAGTGTCCCAGCCCGAGCCCAGGGCAGGGGCGTGGCTGTCATTTCTCGGTTCCAGCTAAGTCTGCACAGCCTTTGCAGAAGGCATCTTGTTTTTATTGCATCTCTGAAATGAGAACTGTAGGCTTTCTCTTGTCCCTGAAATCTCATCATCCTGCCATGAGAATATCTGGTCTAAATTTCAGCATGGGAAGCACAGGCCTGAGTAAGAAAACAGTCAGGTACCCAGGCGGGCTGCCTGTTGCCCATAGATGGACTGTTCACACAGCTATTAACTGCGGCAGCAGCATTCCTGGGCCCAGGAGCCCCGCCAATAGCTTACTTGCACAGGCTTTGTGACGAGTCTGAGTAGCCAGGAAGTGGGATGTTTGTAGGGAAAAGTACTACAGTCCCTTTGGGTCAGAGCTCACCCACCTTGCATAAATCAAGTCTTTAACAAAGCAATATGTCTACAGTTAAGAACTGAGTCCAGTTTTGTGTATTCCTAATGGGGTTACTTCAACAAATCATGTGTGAGTCTTACTGGGAAGACTTGAAGAATAATGTAGATATTTATTGAAATGGAAAGATGTTCATGTGATGGTGTCAAGTGGAAAATCTGATTACCTACAGTATGACTCAATTTGTTCTGTGTTCACGCCTACAAAAAAAATTGTGAAGATAACATTTTCTCTAGGTGGTTATATTTGTTTTGTTTTTGCTTGTCTGCATTTTCTCTCTGTACTAAACATATACAGTGTACTAAAGAAATAATACAAGTTCAAAATAAAAAATTCAGTTGAGAAAAAAAGCTATATTATTAATATCTTGGGCCTAACAGATAAAGCATTTGAAACGATGTGTGTATATGTAAGTCAATAAATAAATGCGGTAAGAAAGGAACGAATTTAAACCTATCATGTGTTTGGAATTTTGAATAGCCTACTAACCTAGGTGTGCTATTTAGTTCCTTTTTTTCCCATCAATCTCCTGAGTTCAAAATGGGAATGTGAGAAAGTCATTCATTGAAGTAAGACAATTGTGACAGATGTAGTCAGCAAACTGAGGGGGTTTACACTTCTCAGATACCACCCAACACCCTGGTCTGGTGGAAACATTACTATTTGGCGAGGAAGCCGTTAACTCTAGTCAAACAGGCAATAGGTTGGGGTTTTTTTTCTGGTTTTATTGAAAAATAATCGACACAAGCAATAGCTTGTGGGAAAATGTTTGTATTTAAAGATTAAACTTCAGCCATGAGGGATAGCTGGTTAGCTCAGGTGGTTAGAGCGCAGGCTCATAACACCAAGGTTGCTGGTTCAATTCCCACATGGGCCATGGAGCTGTGCCCTCCACAATTAGATTGAAGACAACTACTTGACTTGAAGCTGATGGGTCCTGGAAAAACACATTCTTTCCCCAATAAAATTTCAAAAAAGTGACTGAGAGAAGGAAAAAAATAAAACTTCAGCTGAGTTTTACCCCCATCTAAAACCATGAAAACCATTTTTGCCTAAGTAACTTCTTTATAATGTAATTTAACAAAAAAATAGTACTATTTAATTTTAAAAATTCAAACCACTTAATTTTGACATTTAAATTCTAATATTAGGCAGACAGGACAAGGGGTGACTGAGATAATTTTAAAAGCTGCTGGTTTTTTTTTCCCTTTGAGAACATTTGGGAACACATGCCTTAGCATTTAGAGTCAAAAAGAGATTGTGCCTTTTTTCCTGTTGCGACACCGTGATTTCTTCTGATTCTGGGTTACCTAAGGTATGGTTTGTAATGCACTTATTATATACGTATAAACATTTTTCTTTAAGGAATGCTATAGTGTTTTCTATTCATTAAGTGCATTATATGTAAATGAGATACTGTAAGTGAACACATTTAAACTGTTTGGTACATAGTGTTAGCTATTAATCTTTATATTTTCCTTGCATGAACCATAACACAAGAAATGCATTTGATTCTTCTATGCATAGGTCATTTTCCTCACTATATGAAAAGTTGACAATACATAGTTTAGAAATTATTTATTAATGATTATAAATTATTCACACACATATATTACTACAGTAGTCAAGGTACTAAAAGTTGAAATAATACTTTGAAGAGTTTTCAGGTTTTTTTCCTCTCCTGAAAATGTAAGTGAGAAAGGCAGAAAACTGAGGGCAGAAAAATATCCATAAACATTCATAAGAATATACTATTAAGCTGAACAAAAAGCTGAAACTCCAGAAAATAATTCTGGGAAAAATAAACCGTTGGTTATGTTCATACCCTATACTCAAGCATAGAGTTAATGTGGGAGGCAGAAATCTTTCCTGAATGTTCCCCAGATGAATGTAGTGTAGCCAGTGAGATTTAGGAAGGTGAAGCTATATTTGGTAACCCAATTAAAATAACTACATTCTCAAGTTACTTACTGGGAAACCATGGTATTCTTAGTATTTTTAAACCTGTCACAACCTGTGCTAATGTTGGCTTTTTCCCTCCTCTTTCCTAAGTAACTATAATCATCTGAGAATTAGCATTCAGCAGCAGGTATAAATTTTTTTTTTAAGCAGAAAAAAAATCATAAACTCCACGCATCTGGCTACTGGGGCTAATGCTCTTGCATTAAACATGAAATTCTAGATTTGGTTCCTGGAGCCCAGGGGCAGTACAGTATACCCGAGAAATAAACAACATATTGAAGACACATAAGCCTGTCATACAGAGAAAATCAACCATATTACCCCACAGCTACACATTATGCTATTGAATTTGGGTCTACTATTATTGGTGTTACAGCCCTTTTTTGGATGGTATTAATTCTACACCTCCTCCAAAGGGCGAAACTTCTAAGAGAAATCAAAGGAAAGAGAGACAAAGAAGGTCCTTCTCCACAAAGTTTTCTATTTCATTGGGGTGGCAGGCAGGGAATACCAGGTAGTCCTTGGCACATCTCTGTACTAAGAAAGAAGTGCTGTTTACTAAGAACTTCTTCAGAGGAGAGGATGCCTTTGAAGGCACAGAATCTAAAACCTGAAAACTATTCTTCATAACAGAAGGACAACAACAAAAAAGAAAATAGATGACATGAATGTCTATGTAGGAATCCCAAAGAGTCAAGGAAGAAAAAAACAAAACAAAACTCCTGGAAGTAATAAGTGATTATATCGTGACTGGAAGATTCAAAGTTAATATACAAAAGTCAATTGCTATTTATATACATGAATGAACAATTGGAATTTAAAATATAAAACACAATATCGTTTATATTAGCACCAAAAAATGTAATACGTAGTTACAAATTTCATGACATAGGTACACAACCTATATGAGGAAAAACTACAAAACTCTGATGAATGGAATAAAAGAATATCTACATAAATGGAGCATGGATTCTATCCTTGAACATGGATAGAAAGATTCAATATTGTCAATACCATTTCTTTCCAACTTGATATATACTCGTAGATCAAACCCGGTCCCAATAAAAATCCCATGAAGATTCTTCTTGTGGGTTTTGACAAGCTGATTCTAAAGCTGATATAGAAAGGTCAAGACCAAGAAACACCAACACGACATTGAAAGAGAAGAACGAATTCAGAGGACTGACACTACCCCATTAAAGATTGTCCTATATATAAAAGCTACATTAGTTAAGACACAGTGGTGTGGATGAAAGAATAAATAGATCAGTGGAAGAGAACAGAGGGCACAGAAATAGGCCCACACAAATATAGTCAAACTGATCTTTGACAAAAGAGCAAAAGCCAGTCAATGGAAAAAGGATAGTTTTTCCAACAAATGGTTCTGGAACACCTGGACATTCACAGGCAAAATCAGGAATCTAGACACAGACCTTACACTTTTCACAAAAATTAACTCAAAATGGATTATGGTCTTAAAATGTAAAAACCAAAAGTATAACTTAGAACATTGGAGAAAATCGTGGTGACCTTGGGTTTGTAATGACTTAAGATACAACACCAAAAGCAAGATATTGAAATAAAAACAAAAATGATAAGACTTCATTACAATTAAAAATTCCTACTCTGCAAAACACTTGAGAGAACAAAAAGATAAGCCACAAACTTGGAGAAAAATATTTGCAAAACACATGTAATAAGACTGGTGTACAATATAAAACAGACACTTAAAACTCAACATTAGCAAATGAACAACTGGATTGAAAAATGGGCAAAAGTTTACAGAAGATCTATAAATGGAAAATAAACCTATGGAAAGGTGCTCAACAACAACAACAAAAAATAAGAAAGAAAAAAGAAAATAACTTCTTCAAGAAATACTTATTGGATACCCATTCTGAGCAAGAGTGATCTGTCACATGACACAATCCAAGTTTCAGATTTTCTTAATGGAGGAGGGTGTTAATGTGCATTATGTGAAAAATCATACCACAGGTAATAATGAAATTCCCTTTCCTTTCTTTTTGGTATTTACACCTTTAAACTACTGATAGGATACTATCCTTCTTGGCCCTGTCTTATTGCGGCAAATCAAGTTGCTCCTGGTGATTCTGATCCTGGATAACACTGGCTAGGCTCAGGACATGTGCTCTGGCCACAGTGGTCAGATAAATCGGGTGAAATCTGGCTAAATCACCTACATGTGACAACTCTGTAAGGCGTTCATGATGTTTCCCCAGGTCAAGGGCAATGTCTGTTTTTCTCTTACTAGCTTTGTAAAGCACCTCAGTTTGTTATCATCTCTGGGGAGCCCTCCAATCTGCAAAGATATTGCTGAAATAACAACAACAAACAATAACAACAGTAAACTAACATTTATTGAGGCAAAGTACTACGGTAAAAATGTGATAGTTTAGGAAACTGAGGCTCAGAAAAGTATTTCTAAGATAAACCCAGTCCCTTAACCACTAAATGTTTTCATCAGAATTATTGTTACCAGCTGAATAGCAATAGCTAACCAACGTAGCATTCACTCCCTCCGAAATAATCTTATCTTTTTACGGCTCTTCCAGTCATTTTGATTTAGTATGTCGAAGAGTCAGTTTTCTGATTTGAATTTAAAATTTTATGTCACCCCTCTTTAACAGTTTTTGTGTTCGAAGCTACAGAATGTTATTGAATCATCTGCATTTTGCATGTACATTTTTTTTCTTTCAAATGGTTATTGAAAATGTTAAAGAACGTCAGGCCTCCTCCTGGTCATTTTATCAGCGCAGTGTTTCCAACTAAGTGCGTTCAGGGTCAACCAACCTTCAACAAAAAGTTGTCCAGTACTCTGCGGTCCAGCACTTAAACACTGCAAACTCCTCAAATATCAATAAACAAAGTCAATGACAAGACCAAAAATCTCTATCACGTTTTTACCTCACCCCACTGTTACAATCCCGTGAGGAATATATCCAGGAAATAATTAAGGTGAGGAAACAGGGGCGGTCCCAAGGTTAGGCAAAGAGGGGGGAAAAAAAATCGAATTTAAAGCAAACATCTGAAACACTGATAACACTGGCAGTTTTTTAAATGCGGTAACCCGACACCTCAAAGCGGATCCTGCAGATACCACGAGAGCCTCCGCCAAGTCCTAACCCTGGCTTGGCCTCGGTCCCGCCGTCCCGGACCCCCAGGGCACGCAGGAACCGGCCAGAAAACCCACAGCTGCGAAAACAAGTTCGCTCCCCCGGCCCCACGCGCGGGGAGCCGAGCCCGGGGGCGGCCGCGACGTCAGCGTCCGCCGCCCCCACTCTCGCCCGGGCCGCGGGGACCCTACCCCACAAAAGGGCAAGAACCCCTAGTCCCAGAGGAGAAAGCGGAGGCGCCGGCCTCCACCGCGCTCCGCGACCCAGGCCGTCAGCCCCGCCCCCACCCGCCTGGGCGACCCCAGCCCGACCAATCGCGCCGCCCCTCCCCCACCGCCGAGCCGGCGCGAGCCCCCTCACAGCCCCCGCGCCGGCGGCCTCGTCCCGGAGACTCCGCCTCCGTAGACCCGGCAGCCGCCGCGGAGCTCTATGGGGGTTGGAGTCCTCGAGACGGCCTTTGTGCGCCTCAGTGGCGAAGCTTGGGACTAAGATTCCCACAGTGCCCCGCGCCCGCCCCCCTCGGTCGGCTCCCGTCGCCTTCAGACTACACTTCCCGACAGCCCTCGCGGCTCTCCCGCCCTCCCTCCCGAGACACGAGCCGAACTGGGCGTCAGGTCGGGGAGCCGGTCGGGTTCCCGCTCGCCGCCGCCGCCGCCCCCCGCAGCGACTCTCCCGCCGCGCCGGCCGCGGGAACTGCATCGCCAACTCTGCTCGGCCTTGGAGCCGCCGGCCTGGGAGCACAGAGTCCGGGACGCGACACGCAGAGCCCCCCATCACCTCCAGCCGAGGCGACCCCTCCCGGGTCCGCCCCGGTCCTCCGCGGCCGCCGGAGCCCCCAGCCCCGAGCGGCCTCACGGCCCGAGGCCCGCATCCCGGCCCCTGCACTCCCGCAGCCGCCGCCGCCCCCCACCCCGAACATGGACTCCGACTCCTGCGCCGCCGCCTTCCACCCTGAGGTGAGTGAGAGCTGCGCTCGGATCGCCCCTGACCACCCCCACTCCGGTCCTGCGCTACCCGGAGCCGGACCCCCGTCGCTCGCTCGCCACCCTCCCCTCCCCCAGCTTTCCGTCGTCGCCCCCACCCCGGCGCCCAACCCCGCCCCCCGCTGGGGCCCGCGCCCGGTCCTTCCCGCCGGCCCTTGCCTCGGTGTCCCTTCCGCGGGCGTAAGCGCCCACTCCTCTCGGGCCTCGATAGCCTCAGGACCTGCCTGCGCCCCCAGCCCCTCCCGCCCCCGGGGGCCCGGTCCGAGCGCCGCCGCCCGCCGCTCCCGCTTCTCGGATGAGCCCCCTCCCCCCACCCGGAGGGGCTCTCGGCCCCCTCGGACGGCGACTCCGCGCGCCCCCGCCCGCTCCCCTAATCCCTCGGGCCCAGTGGCCCGCGCCCCGCCCCCTGACTCCCGCGCGGCCTCCGCCCCCTCCGGCTTCGGGGAGCCTTGTCCTTCGGGGTTCCCCACCCCTGCAGGGGCCGAGTTGAGCCCCCTCCCCGAGGCGAGCTCGCCTGCTCCTCCGGGGCCCCCGCCCCCGCCCGCGGGCCGTGCTTGCCCCGCCTTCCCCCCTCCTTCCGGGGTCGGCGCTCGGTTCTCCCAGTCGGCGCCCCCGCCGCAGTCCCCTCTCCCCTCCTGAGGCCCGCCAGGTCCGGGGTGCGGGTCCGGCCGCGGGAGGCGGTGCCACCCTCCCGCCGCGCTCACACCTCGGGGGGTTCGCGAGCCCTGCCCTCCCCGGACCCCGATCTAGCCCGTCTCCTCGCGCCCCCTCCCGCGCGGGATGGGCCCCGCACCTTCCGGGGCCGAGTATCGGCGGGGGGCGGCTTCCGCGGGAGGGCGGGGAGGGGGCCGCACCGCCATCTGCTTTTCCTAAAGGCGGCGGGGCGGCGCGGCGGGGTGGGGGCGGTGCAAGTCCCCCCGCCCGGCGCCCGAGGGCGCCGCGGCTTTCCACTCGGCGTCCCGGCTCCTGACCCACCTCTGCACGTTCGCCGCCGAAATAAAAGTTCTCCCCGAGAGTTTGAGGGCCGAGGGCTGCGGTCCTCCCGCCACGGCCGGAGGGAGGGCGGTCAGTCGTTCCCCGGGGGTGGAGGCAGGATCTCTCCAGCGCCCGGAGCGCTGAGCCTGGTGCTCCGCTAACTTGCGTGCCTTTCGGGGTCCAAGGCTGAGGGCTGAGGGGAGAAGGTGGTTTGCTGGAACGAAGCTGAGAAAATAAGTGGCGCCCTTGGAAGGGAACCTGCAGGCAGCACGCCGGTGCCGCGCCGCTTTTTCGGCCCTTTCCTGGGGAGGGCTGCGCTGCGCTGGGCTCCGCTCCGCGAGGAGTCCACCCCTTTCTCCCCCTGCTTTCACCCTAGCAGGGCGCTGGGTCCCTAGGCTCTGGAAATGTTAGCCGAGCACGTAAGGATGGGGGGAGCTTCGGTGGGCGATAAGATGCTTGAAACCTCAGTAAATACGGTAGTCGAGTAAACCGAAATAAAGTTAGCAGTTGCCTTGCTCACTAGCAAATAAAGGCTCTTTCTCCTTGAGCTGCTCCCCTCCTCAGGAGAAAATCCATCCTTGTTGAGGGCGTTTCTAGATTGAATGGGGACAGGACACATAAGCCAGAAGCTCTAGTATTTCATCTTCAGTGTGCAAGGAAGGCTAGCAGGCATGTTTCTGGGTTACCCTCGGAGTGGGGGACGTTTGGGTGCCTGGCCCCCTGGGTGTTGGAGCGGTGCCTCTGCAGGAGACCTGGGTAGGAAGGGGGGGGTCCCCACTAGCCGTAGCTGGGGAGCTGACGTGAGCTTAGTCGGGCGAGCTTCAGCTCCAGGGTCCCAGGCCTGAGAAAGCTTTGAAGGATAAGAAGCAGTTGACTTTTGAAATCACTTAAAATGCTTTGTTTACGGCTATAGCAGCAGTTTCTTTTCAAAATAGAAAACCTGTAGCAGAAAAGTAGTTACTAGAGCTCCTGGTAAGCCTGCAGAAACAATAGATGTCAGAAAATGCCACGGGAACACTAAGAAATAGGCTTTTGGACAAGCTTTTATCTCCTGACCAGTTTCCCAGTATTCTTGGCATCACATCATGACACCGCCTCTTTCAGCTTGCTGAAAACTGTTATTTCTTGACTGGAACTTACCTTGTTTCTAGAGTGTTTGTAAATCTGGCAGTGTGCTTTTTGAGGGGTTATCAAATAAAAGCTCCAGCTTGCTTAGTTTTGTTGCTGTGATTCTACCAATGAGTGTCTTCTGTCAAACACACCCCTTTTTCTTGCCCTTTTCTTACCCACAAACAGGAGTACTCCCCCAGTTACAAGAGGCGGAGGACCGTGGAGGATTTCAACAAATTCTGCACTTTTGTGTTGGCCTATGCTGGCTACATCCCTTATCCAAAGGAGGTAATCTTTGGCACTTTTGAAACCTTTCTTGCTGGCAGTGAAACCAGAGTGATTGACAAGGCGGTGGGGTGGGTCTAGAAGGGGTTGTGTGAGAGGACTTAAGACAATGGCCAGGCAAAAACCTTTCTTGGAAACTTAGACCAGCCTGGGAAGTGGTTCCTACAACTCTTGATAGGAAACACAGGCTTGTCTAGAAATGATTTAATAAATTTTCGAAGTTTGCATGAATATAACTGCTATCTGCCTGTTCTTAATTGCCAGGCGCTATTCTTGGCCCTTACGATGCTGTGAGGTAGAGCTATTATTATTCACCTCCATTTTAAAGCTGAGGACACGAGCACGGACCCCTTGTCCTGGGTCACAGGCTAACGAGTGATGGGAGTCTGGAGTTCCACCAGATGGTTGGTCCAGTCCACACTGCCCTGTCTGGCCAGCAGCCTCCTGTTGCGACACATACCACATTACAGCATCTGCAGGAACTATGGAACTAAGACCCATGTAGTTTAAGGGATTTTTTTCTTTCTGAGAAATGGGCAGAGCTGTGGACCAGTGTCGCCATGGTGCTCAAACTTCAGGGGCTAACAAGAAAGGACTGTGGTATTTGTAGGAGGCCAGATCCCAGCATCGGCTTGTGCTCTGCACTGCTATCCAGGTGGATCACGCTTGCTTTGTGCCACGCAGAATGGCGCTTACTCTTCGCAAATAAAATGTTTGAGTGGTCAGAAGGAACCATAGAGTTTAGCTGCCTGCTTTGGGGCAGTGATTACCTACTTTGATTCTGCAATATTCTGGGATACTTCCAGTTTTTAAAAATAGAACGTCAGAAAATTCTCAAAACTCATTTAAATTCACTTAATTAAAAACTACATCCTGTGGGAGGACAAATGGAGGGAGATTTTACAGTCAGGGAAGGATAAGCGGGTTTGAGAGGGCGTCTTCGCTCCTTTCACAGTGTTTCTAAGCATTGATTAAGTGCCTGGCTCTGGGACAGGGCTGAGGGTTCAGCGAGGCCAGGAGGTCCCCTCTCCTGGGCTCACATTCTATTTGGAAGGTCGCAGTCAAGTACGAACGACACCGTTCCTAAAGAATAATGCTCATTAGAGCTGGGAAGCTTAGGTTATGAGAGTGCACGTCTGCAGGCCCGACCTGGCCAGCGGGGCCTGGGGAAGCTCTGCTTGGGTCAGCTCCTGTTGCTGGGGGCTGGTTGAAATAATCGGAACCTGCCACCTTGGCTTCTGTCCTTGCAGGAACTCCCTTTGAGGAGCAGCCCCAGCCCTGCCAACAGCACCGCTGGTACCATTGACAGCGACGGCTGGGACACTGGCTTCACGGACATCTCGTCCGGGGTGCCCTTGCCAGTCTCTGACCGCTGCTTTGGCCACCTGCAGCCCACCCTCCTGCAGAGAGCCAAGCCAGGTAACTTCCTGCTGGACAGAAAGAAGACCGACAAGCTGAAGAAGAAGAAGAAGAGGAAGCGAAGGGACAGTGACGTGCCTGTGAAGGAGGGGTACATGGGCAGCTTGCTGAAGCTGGAAGCCGCCGATCCATATGTCGAGACCCCCACGAGTCCCACCCTGCAGGGTATCCCCCAGGCCTCTGGCGACCCCTGCTCGGGCTGGGACTCCGACACTCCTTCCAGTGGCTCTTGTGCCACTGTGTCACCTGATCAGGTCAAAGAAATAAAAACTGAAGGCAAACGGACTATCGTCCGACAGGGAAAGCAGGTGGTTTTCCGGGACGAGGACAGCACGGGCAACGATGAGGACATAATGGTGGATTCAGGTGAGTGGTCTCTGAAGGGCGGCCGCGCTGGTGGCTGGCGGTCGCAGAGAGGATTGGAAGCAGGAGTCTCAGAGCAGTGCCTTCCGTAGAGTGACACCAGCGTGTGCCTGTGCATGCCTAGGGAGAAAGGTGCAAGAAGGTGATGGATACACAGCTGTTTAGGAAGTGGCTGGTGGCAGCTAGAGACTGCGAGACACACCCCAAAACGTAAAACCAGTGGCGGCCAGTTAGCTCAGTTGGTTAGAGGGCAGGCTCATAACACCAAGGTTGCCAGTTCGATCCCCACATGGGCCACTGAGCTGCGCCCTCCACAACTAGATTGAAAATGAAACAACTACTCAACTTGGAGCTGAGGGATCGTGGAAAAACACACTGTTACCCAATAAAAACAAAACAAACAAACAAAAACGTAAAAAACAGTGTAGCACCTAAGCGCACATCTCAGGGTAATTCCTGGGAACACACACTTCTCTGCCCTTGGTTGTCCATTTACTTCATTTTCGGGGTAGGGAGAAGAAGCACCCTAAGTGAAAGTTGAAATCAGCTTCATTTGTTGATCAGGTTTCACGGCAGCTCAGCTGCTTGGTCCCATTGGAGAGAGGGGTCCTGATGGAGAGGGGTCATGAGACCTTTTTTTCCCCTCCTCTTACACGTTTTTCTCCTTCTAGATGACGACTCCTGGGACCTGGTCACCTGCTTCTGCATGAAGCCATTCGCCGGCCGCCCCATGATAGAGTGTAACGAGTGCCATACCTGGATTCACCTGTCCTGTGCGAAAATCCGGAAGTCCAATGTTCCGGAAGTGTTTGTCTGCCAAAAGTGCCGGGACTCCAAGTTTGACATCCGCCGTTCCAACCGTTCCAGAATGGGCTCCCGGAAGCTATTTCTGGACTGACTGCTGGCGAGTGAGGAATCAGAAGGGACAATGGGCTTGTTGGCCTCTCTCTTAGTTGAACACAGAACTCTCAGCTCTGGTGCGGGCAGACCCCTGCCATTCAGGTGCCTAAGCAAAAGGACAGGCTGTCCAAGGTATAAACTGTCCATGGCCAGTGACTGAATAAAATCCTCCTTGGCTAAAGCTGCTGCTAGAGCTGTGTTCTCTGCAGTGGAGGTGGACTAAACACCCAAGTGTAGTGGGTTTGGTTCAGCTGAATATGAGGGTACGTGGTAGTTGTGAATTCTTGCTGTCTTGTTAAACTCCCGCCAATTGGCACAAGTGCTAGCTGTTATTCCTACTTCCGCTGTGTTGGGGAGAGGTAGTCACTTTCCCCGGCCTGTTCACGAACAGCCATGCGTGCAAGCTTTTTCTCGAGTGTAAGTCTTACCATAAGTCTCTGTACAGCAACCATCAAAGCTGCCCCTCCCTTAGTGGTGCCCCCCTCCCCTGCCTCACTGCTGCCTCTGTCCCCGGGGGCTGCCTGCTGGAGTCCTCTGGCCTCCGAGAGGATCCTGGGGGTGGTGGGCCAGCTAGCGAGCCCTAGCTTTCCTTCTGTTTGTTAAAAGGGACAGTATGTGGCCCCTTTTCTGTGGAAAGGGTTGGTTGGGGGGTTGAGGTGGCCATGTTCATAACTCAGTTTCCTGTTTTGCACGATGTAAAAAACCTGTCTTTTTGCACGTTAATAGCCAAAAGTATTGGCAGATTTCTGCCTGGGTGCCCTTTCTCTCCAGTTGGCATATGGGGGCCTGGGAGTTCCAGGCAAGCTGTTTTCAAGCGAGGGGGTATTTAGGTTCCCTCCTCGCCTCTTCCCCTCACCTTATTCCAGTAGTAGCATAGAGGTTAGGCAATCACAGGGGAGCGGTGTTCCTCTACATAATGGGGTGCAGGAAAAGTGGGAGGAAGTTCTCTCCCACAGGTCATTCTTAGTGTCCCCTCATACAGGCTGGCCTACTGGTTCTACGGGCCAAGGTTAGAACTTGAAGTCTTTTTTGTTTTGTTTTTTTTGAGTTGGTGAGTGATAGGTAATATTGACCTCCAGGTACATACCATTGATGTGTGCAGAGTTCCTTAGATCTGGACTGGGAGACTCCTCCGGGACCAACTGGGGAGAAGCCAGGGAATTTGCTCCCGAAGCCCTACAGGGCAGCGTACCCTGGGACACTGGCTGTTCTGGGGCCCCAGGGCCGGAGGGCTTCAGCTTTGTCCGAAATTGACATTGCTTCATAGCAGTTCAAGCACTCGTTCTCAAAAAATTTTTTTTGTAATTCGACGGGTGTGTTTTCATAAACATTGTTTCTTGTAAAGCATGAAAAGGGAAGATACCCAAGTTAGTCATATTTGTTTACAGCAGGATAGACCCCCTCAGTTTCCCTGCCGGGGGCTTCTGCATGTGGTATCCTTGTGCAGGGCCACCAGGTGGACTCCCCATTCTCACTAGCACCAAGGGTTTGAACCGTAATTGGTTCATCAGAGCCCGTAATTGGTTCATCAGAGCCCGTATTTTGTCCTAGTATCATTCATGCTTGACCAGCCAACTGCTTTTTTTTTTTAGTTTTTAATTCTGTTGCTTTTACTAACACAAAAATAGAAGTAGTTTCTGAAACCCAGTTTATTGTGAAGATCCCCAAGAGAGAAGTTCTGCTGGAGAGAGAGATAGTAAAGCTGGCTTAGAAGCAACTTTCTCCCTAGACAACTGTCTGGCTCTGACTCGGGCAAACGTGCAGGAAAAGTTGGGGAGGAATTTGCCAAAGATCTGCCCCAGGACATGGCCTGTCCAGTGTCTTCACGAGAATAGCCAAAGTTCCGAGGTGATTTTCTTGTGTTTTTTTTTTAAAAACCCACGAAGTTTTCAAAGTGCATTTAAGTATCTGTGATTTTACAGTGGAACTTGAACTGCCAGTGCTGGTGGTCGGTCGCTGTGTTGCTCTTTGAAGGTTCAATGCCTGGTGACTCCTGGAAGGCTTTTGATATTCATCTCAATTTCTGTTTCTTCATTTCCTTTTTGTTCTTTTAACAGGTCTGTCCCTGTGGGTGGTGTCTAAGAAGTCAAGACACCTTGGTTTTTATGTTGATTGAGCTAGGCAGCTGCAATCAGCTTTATGCAAATTAGGCATGGCCTATCTAGGCAGTCCCGGTTGGTGGCTAATGAGGGGAGGGAAAGATGTCACCCCCAAAGTAGGCCCCTCCAATTGGCTTTGGCCAGGCCAGACACTTAACATCGTTTACATGGTTCTGTGTAATTATAAAGTTTATGTGTATAAAGCGAAGCTGTTTCTGTGAAACTGTATATTTTGTAAATAAAGATATTGCTACTTTGAGGTTGTCTAGCTTCAGGTGTGTGTGTTCTGTGCTGAAGGACAATTGTGTTTCTTCTCCATCACTTCCCCCAAACCGTGACTGACTACAAGATTTGGGAAGTTAAAAGTCCGAGTTTGGTTTAGCAGGGTGAAAAATGCCCACAGCCCTTAATGCACTTTTCTAGTAAATCCTCCAGAAACAAACCACAATATGATTAGACATGAATAGCTTTCAGTTTCTTCATCAAATCGTACAAGAGCTTAAATCCCAGTGAGTGGCTAATCTGCTTTGTAAAAGCCTCTGAGCTGTAAGCAGGATTGGAGTCTCCTGGGGGCGCACATTTAGCCCATTTACACCTGGGGGTCTGCAGTTTTTGAGCCTGTTTTATCAGTCAGCTGTGTCTGCCTAACCGGGGACTAACTGGTACCTCTAGTGACGTTCGGGCAGCCAAAATGTACGTTTCAGCACCTAACACCTTGAAAATGCCATGTTGGACGTTGAGCCTTTCTGTTTAACAGTTGTCCAAGGTTGTTGGCGGTGTAAGTTTGGGGGGCACCAAAACAAAGACGTGAGGGCGACAGGCTTCAGCGAACTGGGGTGAAAGAAACCCCGGGGTCCTGAAGACACGCGACTCAGTTACCGCGCGAGGCGACGGCAATGGAGCAGAGCCAGGCCCGCCCGCACCTCTAGGCGGTCCCGCCCCTCGTGCAGCCCCGCCCGCCCGCTGGCCCTGACCCTCCCCGCAAGGCCCGCCGCGCCCAACAGACCACGCCCATCGGCCCCGCCTCAGCGGCCAACCCCGCCCTCTGGCCTTGCGGATTCCGCAGGCCCCGCCGCCATCTTTGTTAGGGGCAGCCGGGGCCTGGGGTCTGGAGATGCCGAAGTCGTGCGCGGCGCGGCAATGCTGCAACCGCTACAGCAACCGCAGGAAGCAGCTCACATTCCACCGGTGAGGGGCGGGGGTGCTGGGGTTCGCGGGGTTCCGGCTGCTGGGCCCGACTCGCCCCGGGCTAATTGGCCGCGGCCCCCGCCGGAGCCGGAGGCCTGGCGGGCCGGGCGGGGACGCCAGGGTCGCTGTCAGGCCGCCGCAGAGGCCGCAGGAAGTGCGGCCGAGCCCCTTCGCGGAGGCGCGGCGGCCCGGGGACAGGCAGGGTCACGGGCCCTGGAACCTGCGCCTCGTCGGCGGGCCTGGGTGCATGGGGAGACGGTCGGAGAGGCTGATTAACCTGCCCCTGGGCGCACAGCCTCCTGCCAGCCGGTCGGGGAGGGCCGCGGGCCCTGATGCGAGCTCAGGTCGCCCCAGGTAGTGCCCCCGCAGCACCTGGCACCCTCGGCAGTTACTCGGGACGTAGTAGGCGTTCACTCTTTGCTGAATGCATGACTGGTGGTGCCGCCTGTCGGGTTTGCGGTGCCCAGGGCCCTCTGCTGAGCCCTCTGTAGGATGGAGTGGAGGATGAGAACTTCCAGGGCGTCGGGGGTGGGGTGGGTCGGGACGCTGGCTTTGCGGGAGGATGGCGGAGAGTTGGGAGTCAGTCCCTGCACTCCCCGCAGGCCCGGGCGCGGGATGGGGCCTCACCAGTGAACAGGTTCCCACCCAGGACAGCGAGTCTTCAGAAGCCGACTGAATGCTACGCACTTTCTTTAAGGTTCCAGCCTCCGTCCATTTCTGTCCGCTTCAGAGCACCGCCCGAAAGGCTGCTGCACTCACGTCTCCACTTCCTCGCCTCCTATTACCATTTTCAAAGTCAATGTTTTCCTTGAAGTATATATACACGCATATTGAAAAGTGCATAAATCACAAGTACACAGCCCAAATAACCCAGTGGACACCCTGGGTGACTCCGTGGATTAGCACATCACTAGCCCCCAGGAAACCCCTAACCTGTTCGCACACCCCCAAGGGTAACCCATATCTTGCCTTCTGTCACAGTGATTGCTCTGGCCTGTTTTGAACTTTACTTCATGCACTGTGTACTTTTGGTCACCATTTTGTTTGTGTAGACTAAGAAACTTCCAAACCTGTGGAGAATTTTCTAAGATTGAGTCAGAGGATAATGCCTGGAAGCAAGATCTCAACAGGCTGAGAAAAAGGCTTCTGAGAAGGACAGCTTTGCCTTTTATGCATTTGAAAGGAAGGAGGGAACACACAGGAAGATGACATGAAGGTGGGGGAAAGCAAGGTGGGGATTGGATTACCGGAGAGTTAAGATAGTTAAGATTAAGTGGTCTCTTGAGGCGGTTTCCTTATTTCAGAGGATAACCTAGAGGCACAGAGACTATGGGCGGGGCTGGATTAAGACAAAGATAAACCTTTTACTAAAGAAGTTACAGGCCTGGGGCGTGACTACCCACCATGACCTGCCCAGTTAGGAATTTACAATCAGATGGCCCTGGGAGGTGATTTTCCATAGAGGCTCTTTTTTTTTTTTTGGGTCCACATTTGTGAGTCATCCTTGTTGCATGCAATAGCAGTTGATTCCTTTTTATTGCTGCATAATATTCCATCGACTGCATACACTGGGATTGATTTGTTCTAGATTCGAAGGGCATTTGGGTGCTGCCTTTGTGTTTTGGCTGTTGCAAGCACACGGCTAGACATTTCTCCTGGGATGAATCTTCTTCCGGTGCACATGTCTATGTTTCAGTCGGGTATATACCCGGGGAGCAGTGGCTTCCAGTTCTTTCTCATTCCAGTCGGATTCTTGCCTCCACCACCCCAACAAAAGAGCTCTGTCAAGTCCCCAGTGGCCCTTACGATGCCAAATGCAGTGGTCCATCGTTGTCTGAATTGACCTCTCTGCAGCATTTGACACAACTGACCACAGCCCTTGAGACACTCTCACTTGGCTTCTAGGACACCTCTCAGCCTCTTCCTCTGTCATAGTGGCCCTTGTCAGTCTCCTTGCTGGCGCCTCCTCATTTCCAACACTAGACGTTGGAGCACTTTGGGGCAGGGCGAGGGCCATGGCCCTGTATCGTCCCTGTCCACACTTGCTCCCCAGGGCACTGATCTCACCCAGGCCATTCCCACCCTTTACGCAGGCACAGTCCCCTGCCCCCACCCCCATTGTTGTCTCCAGACATGTGTGTCCACCTGCCACTCCACTTCAGCATGTGGACATCTAAAAGGCACCTCAGATTTAACATCTAACATCAAACCGAACTCCCGAGGCCCCAAACCTGCCCCTCCTGCAGCCTCTCCCATCTTAATATGTGACACTCCTTCCTTCGCTTTATCTCATGGCCCACAGGCAACACAGGCAAACATTGTGCGTGGCTTTTGAAATACGCGCAGACCTGCCCGCTCATTACCGCCTCCTGCTGATGCCCTGGTCCCAGCCACCATGTGCCCTCCTGCGGCAGCCAGGGTGGGCTCTCGTCGCCCTCTGCCCAGAGCCTCCGTGGACCCTCCCATCTGCCTGAGGCCCACACCCTTCAGTCCCCACCCTCCTCTTGCTGGGTCTCCGCCCAACCTGCCTCTGACCGTTCCTCAAACGCGCCTGTCATGGCGCCTTCGCTCTTCATTCTGATAGCCACATGGCTTGTGCTCCCACGTCCTGCAGCCTTTGCTGAAATGTCACCTGTCAGGTGGCCTTCCCCGACGACGTCCCACTCTTCATTCCTACACGGTCTACATCTGTTCGGTTTACTGTGTGTGTCCCGTTCTGGAACGTGGCTCCGTGAGGGCCGGACTGTTACGTCCACACCCGGAGCGCCCAGAGCAGGCTCCCGCGGGGACGAGTACAGGCTCACCTGGCACTGTAGCTTCAGAAACAGCTCTGGCCACCTTCACAGGTGTTTCCTACTGGATGCCGTAAACAGCACGACAAGCCTGCAGAAGTGGGATGTGGTTTCACAGAGTGAGGTTACTGGGTTTCCAAGTTGTCCAGCACAACACTGTGGCGAGGTGGAAATCCCAGGAGACTGAAGGGTTGAATCCAGCTTTGCACCTTCCTTCACGTCTCCTCCATTGCCCGTAGGTTCCCATTCAGCCGGCCCGAGCTGCTGAAGGCGTGGGTGCTGAATATCGGCCGGGGCAACTTCGAGCCCAAGCAGCACACGGTCATCTGCTCGGAGCACTTCCGCCCTGAGTGCTTCAGCGCCTTTGGGAACCGCAAGAACCTCAAGCACAATGCTGTGCCCACTGTGTTCGCCTTTCAGGACACTGCGCAGGTGAACACACCTGTATCCTTGTCTTCACAGCCGGCAGGGGCGGGGCGGACTTTTGCAGGGACAGTAGAGGTGAAGGCGGAGACCTGCAGTGAGGGCAGTGCTGTCAAGCCTCCGGGGTTGGAGGCCAGCCTACCCCGCTGGCCAAGACCTTCGTTTTAGGGAATTCGCAACTTAAAGCCGCTTTAAAAATAAATTGCGCTTCACAACTGGATGCCGTTGAAGCATCGATGGGCTAGTGTGGCAAGAGCTGGGTCCTTGATGCGGTTCATGTGTGCTGGGTCTCCCGCGGGCTGGGGGACGGCAGCAGCTGTGCCGCATTCAGACCCCGTCTTCTTCCTAGTAGCCAGCAGGGCTCAGGAGCCAGAGGCTGTGCCACTGCCATTGGGCAGGTAACCATTGTGGTCCTACTGTGTGCCGCACACACCACCTGAGAGCTCTGTTCAGGGCCCAGAAGGAAGATGAAGGTGGAGGGAGGGTGGGGACAGTGTGGGCAGAGGCTGGCAGAAGGGGCCAGATGGTGGCAGGCTTGGACAGGCAGTGGCTTTCAGGTGAGGTCAGTGGGGCGGGACCTGGCTTTGGAAGGCTCCTTTGGCTGGAAGCTGGTTCGGAAGCCACTGCGGTATCACAGGTGAGTGCAGTCATGGTGGCCTGAGCTGAAGGTGGATGCAGTGAAGACAGGACTGAGTGGACAGACTTTGCAGACCCGGCAGGCTGAGACGGAGGTGGCAAGGGACAGCAGAGCATGCTGAGCCCCTGGGGAATGGGCTTCTGATTCCCTGAGGAGCTTGGTCCTGTGATGAATTTGTCCTCCCAGTGGGACACGAGTGGACATGTTTTGATGGGGAGGATGTGCGGGTTTGGCTCAGGAGCGAGTTCACAGATAGTTGGATGTTGAAGCCATGAGGGTGATAATGGATTTCATTAATCTTAAAGGTGTACCAAGTTCCAGAGAGTGGGCCCCACAGCGGGCACCTGTTTGAACTTGGTAGTGGTGAAACCAACATGAGACTGATGGACACGTGTGCCAGTTGGATTCATTGGAAATGAGAGAAAAGGGAGCCGGCCTGTGGAGACCATGAGTCACAGGGTGTCAGAGCAGGCGCCACCTGTCAGCTAACACGCCTGACACCTTTGCCCTCCATCTTCCCCAGACATCCACGCGCTGGCGGCCTTCCCTTCTCCAAGTCCACATCCACGGTCACGTTCCTGCAGGAGGGCCCTCCCTGACCAGTCCCCACCGCCCTCGCTGGGCTTTCTAGGACCTGCCAGCATCCGCCCTGCTGTTTCATTTGTTTGGTCTCCCCTCCAACGTAAGCTCTGTGAGGGCTGGGATTTGTTTCACTGCCTTATTCCCAAATCCCAGAACACAGCCAGGCGTGAAGTAGGTGCTTAATATTTGTTTTTGTGTTTTTTTTAAATATGGAAGGACTTTTATTTTTATTTTGTATATATTTAAAATTTTATTTTATTGTGGTAAGAACACTTAACGAGATCTACCCTCAAACCTTTTTTTTTTTTAAAGATTTTATTGGGGAATCGGGGGAGGGGAACAGACAAGTTGCTGTCCTTTTGTTATTCAGTCTAGTTGTGAAGGAAGGCGCTTCACTGACCCATGTTGGTATTATCATTGCACTCTTCCCGGGGGAGGCAAATCAGTCGCTGGCCACTGGACGGCCGCTCACGCTGGCTGCCAGCTACTCACAGTAGCTCACGGCAGGTCACTGGAGCCTCACTGCAGCCTACGCCATTGCCAACAACTCCAGCAGCCCAGCTCCAGGTCGAGCTGTTGTTCACCATCTTAGCTGTAGAGGGCGCAGCGTCACTGGCCCTCACGTGGGATCCGAACCGGGGCCCTGCTGCTCAGAGCTGGCGTCCCAAGCCAACTCCTAACTAGTGCACCACTCGGCCGGCCGTACCCTCAAACTTTTTAAGTGTACGGTACAGTGTTGTGATGTGCAGGTGTGATGTACGCAGGGCTCTCGAAGGTCATTGTTGGGCTTAACTGAATCTTTATGCTCACTGGTTAGCAACTCCCCACCCTCAGCCACCTCCAAGCATGTTCATTAAGAGAGTACAGTTTGGTCACTTTGTCCTGGAAGAGATTGCAGTTTACAACTGGGGGGGGGGACATTTGTGACTTGCTCCTTAGTGCCTGGGGGCAGGGAGAAGCTGGTTCTGGCCTGTGGCTCTGGCTCAGCTTGTGGACACCTGGAGACTGCAGGCTCTGAATTGGATGTTTTCTACCATGTGGCTTCTACTCGTTGAGCAAAATTTGAGTCACCTACTATGCAGTTAGAAGAATGCCAGTCCCTGGGGTGACACAAATTAGGTTCCTAGCTTCATAGGGACCTATTCACGGGCCACTGGCCCAAGATTTGGGCACATCTTGGGAGAAAGAAGAGCACCAATGGGTGGGGAGTTGATCTGGGCTGGGTTTCAGGGCCCAGTTTAATTGCACACACATGGGGCTGAGCACTGGGGCAGAAGCACGAGGCCTGGCGCCCGGTGTGGGGCTCTCCGGGGTACAGATCTCTTACTTGCACCCCGATTGAGCCGAAATTTGGGCCGTCCACAGCAGCTCCATGTCTCTTGCAGCTGGTGAAGGACACAGACCCGGCTGGCGAGGGTGGAAACGCCGACTCTGAGGAGAAGGTGAGTCTGTACCGCGGCCACTGGACTTAGCCGCGAGTTGGAGGCTGAGCACAACACATGCCTGCCAGGCTGGCTGCTGGGGTTTGTCGTGCCGTCCTCGTAGCCTAGGGTTTTGGATTCTGTTTTCCGAGGAAAGGGACAGCGGCAGCCTCTCGTGCCTCCATCCTGTTCAGTACCACACACTGGTAGTTGGTGACAAGTTCAGCTCGTGCCTGATTTCTAAGGGTCCAGTCCTGGGCCTGGGGAGGAGGCTAGCTGTTCCTGCCAGTCCCCGGGACAGTGACGGGATTGCTGGTGGGACAGACAGGTAACAGCTGTGGGAGGATCTGGTGTCTGTGGCTCAGCTGCCTGCTTCTGCCCTGTGTTCCCAGGTCGCCCTGGAGGCGGGGGCACAGGAGCACGGCCCATGGAGGCAGGCAGACTCTGCACTCCCAGCACTGCAGCTGCCCGCCAGCGCCGGAGGTCCGGGAGGACAGGTAAGGTGCCTGGCCGGGCACCAAAGGGCATGTGGTGGGTTGCTCTCAGCACAAGGGGCTTTGCTTCAAACAAAAGAAAACCAGTGTCCAAACCACCAGCACCATTGGGTGTGGCCAATCTCAGACCTTCCCAATATAATGCATGATTTGGGCAGGTTTGGATGTCAGCAGAGCTGCGGGAAGCGACCCTCAGGCCCCCTCCTCCCAGACCCCCCTCCCACAGAACAGCTCTGCCACTGGTCCCTGGCTTCTGCCTCTGGACACTGCTTACCTTCCACTCACCTGTGTCCTCAGGTCCTGCCACAGAGACGGGAAGCAGCTGAGGCCCCTGGTCAGCCTGCCAGCCCCCCGCAACCATCCGATCACAGCTATGCTCTTTTGGACTTAAATGCCCTAAAAAAAAAACTCTTCCTGACCCTGAAGGAAAATGAAAAGCTTCGGAAGCGCTTGAAGGCCCAGAGGCTGGTGATGCAGAGGATGTGTGGCCGCCTACGAGCCCAGAGAGCGGGGCCACCGGGCATCCGGGCCAGGCTGCAGCCTGAGAAGCAGAGCTGAGCCAGGCGGCTGGGCTCAGCGGAGCCCTTGGGACGAGGACCTTTCAGTCCTGCCGCTGACACTGAGTGGCAGTGAGGCATGCCAGGCCAGGGCGCCTGGTGAGGAGCCCAAGGTCGCATCAGGCTGGGAGGGGGTAGGGCTGTAAGCATGACAAACTTGGTTCTCCAGGAGGTGACAGCCCCAGCTGTCCTTTCAGCACAAGCTAGGCGAGTGTCCTTGGAAGCACAGCATGAGGAGCTGTCCCGAGTCAGAGTGGCAGACACTGCTGCCGTGGGGCGGCAGCCTGTTTCCTTATGGGGCAGCTGGGTCTAGGGAAGCACCTAGTGCGTGGGTCACTCCCACCCCCGCATGAGAGGGCATGAGGACTGACTGTAATGCGCCTGGACAGCCGGCTCTCCCCGTGGCCGAGACAGGCCTCCTTTGAGCGAGCAAAGTAATAAAAGTGTCTTCCTGCACGCCCGGGTTCCCGCCTTTACTTAAAAACAAGCACTGATTCCAGGTTCTGTCCCATGTGCTTTGCTGCTGCTGAGCGGTCAGGGCTTGACCACCTTTGACTACAAAAAGGTGACTTTAGATAAAAAGGAAAAACAAGAATTCTAGTCTTGAGATTTCCTAGCTCTGGACTCGATTATTTCTCAGGCACGTGTCTCATGTAGAATACAGAACCACAGCTTCAAGTTAAAATGTGGTTTAAACAGAAGAGTAAGGGATGGGACGAGGCCCTGGGGGGCGCTGCCCTTCTGTTGCTCTCTGCTAATAATGAACATACAGATGCACTGAAACACTATCCCCAGCTTTCAGGCAAGGTTTATTGCGGTAAGAGTGCCTTCTGTACAGTCCAATTCAAGCAGAATGAGAGGGAATCGGTGCCCAGAAGAGCCACCTGCCGCCGAGGGAGCATGGCTGTGTCCGAAGTCAGACTCACTAATCGCATTGACTATTGCACGATTCACATTCGGAGCAGCAGCTCAAAAAAACTTTTTAAAACTGGAGCTAAATATTACAGGATTGGACAACCTGAAGTGTTTTTTTTTAAACTGGAGGAAGGTCATGAGCGATTACACTGGTACCAACGTCGGGAGTGAGGCCTGATTGTCGCAGTAGCTGCAGGGCCTGTGGGAGCCAGCACCAACCAGGGCCTCTGCTCACTGGGTGACTGGACTGCAGTTAAGAGACCAGGCTGTGGGGAAGTCTCCTGGCTCCCAGAATAGTCTGCATCCAGCAGAGGCCAGCGGAGGAAGAGGGTCCTGGGAGCAGGCACCCAAAAAGGAGTCCCTTGTGGGGCGGGAGCTGACCTGGCAGGTGTGGGGAGCAGCAGCGCCACCTGCCGGCCTCGGCGCTCCCAGCACTAACGATTTGGCTCTGAGGCTGGCAGAGCTGCGTGGGGCAGGTGAGAGGGACGTTGGCCTCTCCCCACGAGGATGTGTGGGGGGGTGCTCCTGGAAGGACGTGGCCTGTGACAGGGATGGCGAGTTACACCACTGTCCCAAGCCAGGTGCCAGTGGAATGATTCGAGAAGTTCTGGGAGGGAAAAAAGAGACTAATTTCCAAAACCATTTGTTCTGAGATAAAAAGCAGATTTATAAACCCACACAATCCTCTCCAGATTCCTACTTCAGCAGGAAAAGGTGGTTCTTGGGAAGCTGATTGGACAGACCCTCTCTTGACTGGAGACCTCTGTCCTGGGAACACCTTCCTTCCTTTCCATGGTCAGTGTGGATTCTGGGCAAAGCAGTTCACAGTTCTGGGTGTGCGGGCAGGACGTTCCCTAACGACCTCAAGACAGACCGAGAAGTACTGTGGCTGCAGCCAGCTCGTGCTGAAGAACCTGGAGGCACCCGGGGGCGTCCGGGCCCAGGGCCCTTCCTCCAGGGACATGATCCTTGGGGAAACAGACATGGCTGTGCTGCGGTTCTGGTCCGGGTGGGGCTGCCTCAGCGCTACCCACAGCACCCGTGAGAGTGGGGTGTCTGTGTGTCCCTTCACATAATTGGTACAGTACCACCTTCTACAGGAATAATATAAAATAAACACATCTGATGTCTGGGTTTTTCCCTGCTTCCAAATTTGTAGACTCCCAGGAAAAGGCTTTTTGCAGCTTCTTTTAATCTGGTTCCTCCAGCAGTTTATCCATCTGTATCAATCCTGTGAGCTGTAAAAGAAAAGGCAAACAGTTTATCTGTCAGGGGCAGCTGTTTCCACGCCCTCTTTCTTCCACTTAGGGGTTCAGTAGACCAGAGGCTGCTAGGCTGACAGATGGTTCTGGAAGGGCAAGGAGCAGCTGCGCTGGTTTCACACCCAGCCACCCGAGCTGCAGTTCCAAGCAAAGAGTTCCTCTAGTTCCCCCGGGGACAGGCTGGCAGCCCCTACGGTCAGCACATCAGGGCCCTGAGTGAGTCACGATGCCCAAGCCCGCCTGGGATCAGGCCGTAACAGAGGGAAGGTGGTTGTCGCCGCACACTCTGACGTCCCGGGTCCCGGACGTGGCTGAGCACCCCTCCTGGTCTGCACAGGGCAGGTGACGTCAGAGGAGCAGCTACTCACACTGCTTTGGTATCCTAAGCGCCTCACTGTCCAGTGCCATCACCTGATGGAGGACACCTCGGAACTGGTAAAGCACTTTCAGGTTCTTCTCTTCACCCACACAGGGGTCATAGAACCCGGGCAGCCCAGCCTGCAACAAACACATTCCGAGTCGAGTCCCGTTTACACCCAGCAGGACCACTGTCTGCTGCCATCTGCAGGTGCAGTGGAAAAGGGCCTCGACTTTCCTTCAGAAGCTGCCCTCCAAAGATGCAAACTTTGCAGCTTGAGGAAAAAGAAATGCAAATTCAAAAGAGTTGCCTATTTAGACCCAGACTTCCCTCTCAATATAGGCCCCTCCTCCCACTCTAAATACACCTGTCTTCACAGGAGCTCCACCCCATGGGGTTCTAGAAGACTTCATCAGGCAGCCAGGTCTGTGCCCTGAGTAGCCAACGTGCACTTGAATTTGCCTTTATCAGCCCCAGGCTCCAGCGTGAGCCTCAGATGCGCTACAGGTGACCTCACAGTCCTTCTGGAACAAGGCAAGGAAGAAGCAGCATGTAAGCTCTACGAAGGCAGGATGTATGTTTTGTCTGCTGCTGCGGTGCCTGGCACATAGTAGGTAGGTGCTTAATAAATACTTGCTGGGTGAGTGAAGTAAATAGCTCCCACATGGATGTAACTTGGGTGCTGGGTAGCAACCCGCACAGTGCATGCCAGCAACATTAAAGGACTCCACTGCGATGATCTGGCCATTCCAAGGGCCAGCTGTCCCCAGTCCCCAGAGTCCTTTTCTGTCTGAATCCCATGGGCACATGACAGTGTACCTTGGAGGCCTCTGTGAGGATGAGCTTTGAGTCCTTCACCAGGCACTGCAGGGGCACTGTCACGTCAATCACCTTCACCTTCTCGCTCTTCTTGCTCTTGTCATTGACAAACTTCCCATACCAGGCGTTGACAATGATGAGCCCTGAGGACAGACGCAGTCAGAGCAGGGCGGGCCCACACAGCTGGACTCAGGGCCAGCGTGCTCCTTTGAACCCCCCCACGCCCACCCATCCCGAGGCCATGCCCTCTCACCCATTCTGGACTCCTCTGCCTCAATTATCCTTCGGACAGATTCCTGCATCAACCGAACCTGCGAAGAACAAGGTAGCCGCCGTCAGGGCCCTCCCTCACTGGGCTCCGTGTCTGCTCGGAGCCACGGCCATGTGCCCGGTGTCTTTCAGCCCTTCCCCTGTCCACAAAGAACCCGACAGTGCCCCCGTCCTTTATCCTGGGTATCGCTGTTATCTTACGTCGCATAAAAACAACTCACTCAAAGGGAAGCAAAGGGGGACAATAGCACCACTTTATACGAAACCTTGTAATGCCTTCTGAAGGTAATGGGTCTCATCTTTAGGACAAGGACCGAAGCCCCCAGTACTGCATCCCATCGGCCACGGAAACGCTAGAATGACCAGCGCAGCTGTCAGGGAAGAAAAGCCTGAGCCCTGGACCCTGGGGACCGGTGTGTAGTGTGAACTAGTCCCCGTTAGGAACCGTGGACTAGAAAAGCGGGGGCACTGCGGTCTGTTCTGCACGACAGTGTGGGGCACTTGGATCCACGCAGAGCAAGAGGGCTTCCGGGGCGGACGCTCACGCAGCACTTACAGCAGCTTCTGCCTCCTGTTTCTTCTGCAGAATGCCAGTGGCTGCGCTTTCCCTGTGCTTTTCCAATTCCCTTATGTGAGAAAAACACAAGCCACACATCAGCGTGGGGTTACTCCTCCGGGGCCTGCGCCCAGCAAACAGTCTGTGGTCTTACTGCATTCCTAGTTCTAGAACATTAAGAAATATTTCCAAGACAATCTCAAGCAAATCTGCTTGTCGCAGGCCTGTGCAAATTTCCCGTTGTCCCTGGATGGCTCTCCCCCACCTCCTCACCACAGCGTGTGGGAAACCCACTGCCAGGCCCTTTGGAAAGAGGCCCGCAGCTGGCAGGAATGTCAGGAAGCAGGAGGTCAGAGGAGAAGGTGAGAATCACAGGAGATGCCACCCATCTTCTGGGATTATTATATAAACCCTTTGGGAGGGACGACGCACCACACACCTGTCCCATCAGAGACGTGACACATCACATCCTCTGTTTCAAGCCTCGAGCATCCTGGGGAATTAGGACCGTGTACTCTGCCGAGTCAAAGGCCAGAGAGGCCTTGAAGAGGAGATTCGGTCCCTCCCGCCAGATTCCCTAAGCTCAGTGATTTATGAAATACCATCACCATAAAGTAAGGAATCTAAACCACCTCTCAGACGTGATGTTATGCCTTAATGGTTTATCTACAAAAAACTGCAAAATAAATGACATTTCTTTAGGTGACACCTTAGACTATTTAGTGCATGCCCCTCATGTAAGAACTCAGAACCCTTTCCTCTTGAATTCAGTGCCAGGAAAAGAAATGGTCAGAATGAGAAAAGGGACAACTTCTTATTTCTTGTGGTTTAAAGTCTCTCAACAATTTGGTAAGCTAACTCTAATCCTTTCGGAAAGCAGGAGTAAATGGCAAAAAAGGACAACAGCAGCAGTGCTACAGAACGATGATACACAGTGGACACTTACTGAGTACTTGCTGCAGGCCAGACACCGCTACCGCGCTCAGCATTTTACATGTATTAATTAATTTGATTTTCCTAATCATCCTATGGGGTAGGTTCTATTATCATCCTCTCCAATTGAAAGACAAGGACACTGAGGCACAGAGCTGTTTGGTGACGTCCGGCGACAGGTTTTAAACTCACTTCTCCTTCTGAGCCCTGAGGTACGGTTTGATGACCAGACGGTGCATGGCGAAGTAGGCGACGAGCGGCCCCACGGTGGCGTAGAACACAGCGCTGGGAAGGAGCTGGTCCGTCAGGTGGATGGGGAAGAAGTAAGTCTGACTGGCTCTGT